TCCGCATAAACTCGTCGAGCAGGTTACCCGGTCGACCTGGACACCACCAGGTGCTCTAGTCGACCATCAAGTGCCTCTGGTCGACCACCGGATCCATCTGGTCGGCCACCAAGTTCCCTCTGGTCGACCACCAGTGCCCCTGGTCAACCACAGCTCCCGTCAAGCTACGCCCTGGTCGATGGACCCCCTCCGTGGACTAGAACTGTTAGCTGATGTCGCCGACTCCCTCGTCGACCACTGCTCACTTGTCACGTCGACGGACTACCGTCGACCTCTCGGTCGAACTGCTCCTCCTGGTCGACGGCCCACCTGTTGCCCAACCCAGTTAGCGGCAAGTGTCGAGCTCCCTGGTCGACTCCAGCCCCATGACAGTCCAGTGTAGGTCACCAACCACCTTGTGGACCTGCCCCGCAGAAGAAGGCCATCAAGCATTCCTGGTCGACGGCAATCACCATAGTGGTCCCCTGCAGCTCGACAAAAGCCCATCGAGCAGCTCTCCCACTGTGAACAGTCGGCTGCTTCTCCCATACATCCAACCAAGTTGTAGGCATTGCCCAAGCGAGGGCGGGGCCAACTCTCCACTCTCGTTAACACTCCCCTTGCCCCGCTCACGCTTGGGCCCCCAGCCCACACGGCAGTACTCCATGGAGAAAATCGTCCTCGGCGTGCACCCCACATACAGCACACCAACACCGCACCAGCCGTGCAGAAGGGCATGGCACCTACTGCTGCGCCATCATCATCGCCATCGCCGACGTCGGCCAGACAAACTTGACCGATGGCGACAGAGCACCGGTTGAAAGCCGGAAAATGTAGCGCCTTCGTCAGGAAGTCTGCCGGCTGCTCAGTGGTTGGGATGTACTTCAGCACGAACTTCCCGCGCCTCACCATGTGATACAGCCAGGAATAGCGTTGCTCCATGTGCTTGAGGTTGCCCGTCAGCCCCAAGCCCTCAGCGACCGTGATTGCCGACTTGTTGTCCACACGGAGGACAGTCGGCTTCCCAGCATCAAGCTGCTTGAACTCTGCAAGGAGGAAACGAAGTCGACGCCCCTCCTTGCCAGCGTCCGTGGCCGCGACGTACTCCGACTCGGTCGAGGAGAGAGTCGTGCACTTGATGCGCGAGCTCGACCAGGAGACCGGTCCCTCCGTAGATGAACACGTAGCTGCACGTGCTTGTCCCCATAGCCTATCAACTTCAGCGACTCTGGTCCACCGCCGAACTCCTGGGCGGAGTCGCTGGTGTCGGCGAGGTAGGCGAGGCAGCGGCCGATGACGCGCCAATGCTGATCGCATCCTCACCGTAAGGCCACTCCCCAGCTTGCTGCAGGCGAAGGCAATGTCCGGCCTCGTCGTCGTCGCCACGAACTGCAGCGAGCCAACTGTGAGAGTACGAGAGCTTATGCTGGCTTTGCTAGCTTGCCTAGACTTTATTACGCTATATCTAGCTTGGGTTTTATTTATCATTCATAAATATGCTTCATTTCCTAGGTTAGGTGCATCCTTATATTTTATTATAGTTATAGCACCGAACCAGGTTACGTGTACCGAACTCAAGCCTATTCGGTTTCCACCGAATTGCTTTCTACTGAGTTCGGGAAGGCTCTGTTCGAGGCGCTTCGTGACCCTCAGAACATTCGCGTAACACCTGGGTAAATGGCCTTGTGTCGAGACTATATGTAGCCTCGTGTTGTACCCAGGTGAATCATTCAATTCACAATTCTCTTTCCTGAGCTCGATCCTAGATCCTCACACCAACCTTCTGCCGGTATGTGAGAATTGAAACGAGAATGAGTGCACTAAGGAATGGAATGTGGTACAAATATGCAACCCTAGAAATGTGTACCCCATATAGGCTACCCCACTACAGCCTACAGAACATTATGATTTGACACACCCCCATAGGCAAAGTGGGGGAGAACAAGGGTCACAAGACCAGTCAATCAGAACAAAACAAAGCTCAGGGTGGATCACAAAGTCACCACACATTCCGAGCACAAGTTCAAGGCCGGAAGGCCAGTTCACATGCAGGAGCACACACACACACACACACATATATATATATATATATTATATAAGGCTAAACAAGCAAGTGCAGGAGTATATATATGTGACAGTACAAGCAAGGTCAAGAAGTGAGCAAGTGAGGCAAGGCAGGCACAAGACCAAGCTGAGTATAGAAGCGCTGATGATGACAAGGCGCAAGTGCCTTAGTGAAGATATCAGCAGTGTTGGCCTCAGAGGCCACGTACGCAAGTCGCAACTGACCACGCTGCTGCAGCTCACGAGCAAGAAAGTAGCGGAGAGCAATGTGCTTCGTTCTGTGCTCCAGGCGCTGCTCCCGACACAAGGCCAGCATGGCCTTGTTGTCTACGTACAGCACTGGAGGAGAACGAGGCGGCTCTCCGAGGTCAGTCAGCGGGTAGGTGAGCCAGCGAAGCTCCTGAGCAACCATGGCTCCTACGTAGATCTCAGCCTCACAACTGGAGCCGAGAACGGAAGACGAGCGAGTAGCCCTCCACGAAACAGAGCCGAACCAAGGCTGAAGGTGTAACCCTGTGACGACCGCTGCGTAGCCTGGTCGTCAGCCCAAGAAGCGTCTGCGTGCCCAGTGAGGACCACTGGACTCTGCCCTCCAAGCACTAGCCCCATGCCCGACGTACTGCACAAGTAGCGCAACACCCTCTTCGCTGCAGCCATGTGGTCCGGTCTGTGTCTCCCAGGAGCAACATAGCGTGCAAGAATGCTAGGAGGGTATGCAAGGTCAGGTCGTGTGCAGGTCATCAGGTACATGAGACAACCAACAAGCTCTGGGTACGGGCCACTCGACTCTATGGACTCATCCGAAGGCAGAGCTGAGAGCGAGTGGCGAGTAGGCAGAGGAGTGGCCTGAGGCGAGGAGTACGTGAAGCCGAAGCGCTGAAGGACGTGCTGCACCATGTGTGACTGAGTCAGGGTAATGGTGCGGCGTGCTCTCTCTCGGTGATCTGCAAGCCAAGGTAGCTGCGCAGTTCACCCAGGTCTGTGCACGTGTGTCTCTTCTGCAGCTCGGACTTCACGTGGGCGAGTCCAGCAGTGTCAGCAGTGGCAAAGACCAAGTCGTCGACGTACACGAGGATGTAGAACGGCGGCAAAGAGGTGTCGGTGCGCAGAAACAGCGACGGGTCGGCAGTAGAGGGAGCAAACCCAAGAGCCGCAAGCGTAGTCCTCGGTGTGTCGTGCCACTCACGCGGTGCCTGGCGGAGACCGTAGACTGGCCGCCGGAGGCTCCACTGGGTGCCGGGAGGAAAAGTCCCAGTGAAGCCAGGTGGGCGGCGCAGCCAGATCTCCTCGTGAAGGCTACCCTGCAAGAAAGCAGTGCTGAAGTCAAGAGAGTGAAGCTCGTAGTCGCGCTGAGCGGCTATGTGCAGCAGCACCCAAAGAGTGGTCATCTTCGGGGTGGGAGAGAAGGTATGAAAGTAGTCAACTCCGTGCCGTTGACTGAAGCCACGAGCCACGTACCGCGCCTTGAAGACAGGTGGAGAACCTGGCGGTCGCTTCACCCTGAAGATCCACATGCCACTGAGGATGTTCGCCCCAGGTGGGGGAACCGCGTCAACGTAGGTGCCTATGGACTTCCAGGAAGCCATCTCTGCATCCATAGCTGCCTGCCACTGAGAGGAGTAGGGACCCTCTACGGCCTCCGCGTAAGAGCGCGGAGTCGGGATGTCAAGTGCATCTGGGTCTCCCTCAGGGTAAGCACTACGGACACGAGATGAGGTGAAGCAGCAGCCAGACACTGGAACTCCTCCTGCCTGTCCTCAAGGACGTCCGTGCCAAGGGCACACTCACCCCCGACGGACGGAGGACAGACAGACTCAGTCTCAACGACAAGACTAGCAGCGTAGTCTAGACGACAGCGAGCAGCAAAGTCGACGAGCTCAGCAACTAGGGCAGACGCAGCAGTGGACTCAAAAGAAGGGTCAGTGACGACAGTAGCAAGGAGACGCGTGACAGTAGGACTGGCAGCACGAAGAGAGTCCGACTCCGGGTCGGCAAGAGCAGGAAGAGAAGACTCAGGAGGAGAAGGCAAAGGGGCACGCAGAGGAGCAATGGACGAACGCAGAGACATCCGGTGCGTGCCAGGGACAGGAGGAGGACGCTGACGCGAACTGCGACCACTAGTGCGAGCAGCACGGACAGGCGACGCAGGGCGAGACGCAGGCTCACGACGCTCAGCAAGACCTCCAGTAGGACCAGTGTAGGGAGACGGAGCAGGCAGTGGGGAGGCTGGCTGTAACTGTAACTGCGACGGGACAGGCTGTGGACACTCTAAGGGAGGAGGAGGACCAGTAGAAGACGGGAGACCAAGAACCTGCTGAAGGAGCGGAACGAAGTACGGCCGAGGCCGCGCGGCGACTCCAGACACAGCAGGGACAGCACCAGCACCCCCAGTGGCAGCACCAGCACCAGTAGCAGCTCCAGCTCCAGTACCTCCAGCAGCACCAGTAGTACCCCCAGCAGGACCGCCTCCAGGACCGACAGCAGGAGCCTCCGCTCCAACACCCGCAGCAGCTCCAGCTCCAGAAGTACCCGCAGGCCCAGCAGCTCCAGTACTCCCAGTACAAGCACCTCCGAGACCTGTGGCACCAGCTCCCTCAGTAGCAACAGAACCTCCAGTATCCACAGCACCTCCAGCTCCAGCAGCTCACCTCCAGCGCCGGGCAAACCACTCACGCAGCTCAAGATCATAGATGGCAAAAAGGATACCATCAAAATCAAGATCATAGATGGCAACTCCCGCCCTAGACAGCTCGCCCCAGCGAGGGATCTCTGTGGCCTCCGGGAACTGGTGACGCCACGCGTCCGTCAGGCGGCCAAAGCAGCACTGGGTGGGGTGCGCACCCCCACACTGCTCACCCGCACGGTCGCCGGTGCGCAGGACGTAGGTGCACAGACCAAAGCCCCCACCCCGCTGGCGTGCAGTCTACCACTCACGGAGCTGCTGAGGGGACAAGGTCTCACGACCGCGCTGCTGCTGGCTGGCGCGGACCACCACCGAGCCACTCCTCTGCGTAGACCCGCGACCAGCTCCACCGCCACCCCCGCCGCCTCCCGCCGCCTCCGCCGCCTCCGCTACTAACCGCCGCCTCACCGCCTCCTCCACCGCCACCGACCTCCCGCCACCTCCGCTCCCACCGCCACCCAGCCGCCGCCGCCTCCGCCTCCACTGCCGCCACCGACACCTCCACCCCCACCTCCACTCCCACCGCCACCCCCACTCCCCCCGCCGCCTCCACCTCCACCTCCACCGCCCCGCTCGCTCCTCCAGTGCCCCCTGCCCCCCTTGGCCCCTGCCAGAGCGCGTCTCCCGCTAGGGGCAGACGCCGCACCGACCGACTCAAGACCAAGGAGGTCGGCCGCAGCAGCAGAGGCAACAGAGGGCAGAAGGGGGGAGGGGGAACACCCCTCAAAGATGGGGGTGCGCGGGTCACCACGAGAGGCCCCTACAGCGACTATGCTCTTCTCGGGCCGCTAGGAGGGACTTCTCGAGGAGGTCAACAGTGAGAGTGGTGGGACAAGACTGAGAGGAAGTGGTCCCTGACTACGCGAAGGGAGTCAGGGAGGGCGATTGACTATGTAGGTAGAGAGTGATGTACATGGGGGGGGGGGGTTCTTGGCGCAGAAGTCAGCAGGAAGCGCAGCGCGGTAGCGAGTGTCACTAGTGCGGAGGTGCGTAATGAGGTCAGTGACTGTGGGAAAGGCAGCAACGTCAGGGAAGAGGCACGGTAGCATGAGACGGCTCAGTGCAGCAGTGGCAAGGGGAGGAGTAGCGTGCAACTACAGCGTTGTACAAGGTCTGAGCACGTCTTGTACTGACTAAAGTGCGCACGCTCAGAGTAGGGAGGTGGCGACGCACAGCAATACCGTGCAGCGAGCATCGCGCGTGGCCCACTGTGAGCGAACAGTGGCGTCAGCATCAGCAGCAGGAGCATGAGAGGCACCAGAGGTGAGGTCAAAGAGGGAGAGGACCGTCTGCCCTATCGCACTGTAAGAACAGCTGCAGTCATCTACCCAGACGTCAAAGTCAATGGCTCGACCCTCGGCGTCAAAAGCGAGGGACACTAGGTGGTAGCCATGACAACAGTAGACTAGCAGCGCTGACTGTAGAGCAGGGGCAGTGCGGTGACAGAGGCGCTGCGCTCACCAGACAGGGCGGTTCGGGCAGCTCGGGCGGCTCGGCAGGCAATTGCGGCTCGGCGGCACCCGCGGGCTCGGCTCCTCAGCTGCTCAGGCGGCTCGGGCGGCTCGGGCGGCTCGGGCGGCTCGGGCGGCTCGGGCGGCTCGGGCGGCTCGGGCGGCTCGGGTGGCTCGGGCGCTCGGGTGGCTCGGGCGGCTCGGCTGCGTAGGCGGTTCGGGCGGGGCCGTAGGTAGGGCGATGGGGCCGGGTCGAAGGTAGGGCGACGGGGCCAGTGCGCATGTAGGGCGACGGGGCCGGGCCGGGGCGCAGGTAGGGCGACAGGGCCGGGTCGAAGGTAGGGCGACGGGGCCGGGGCCGGGGCCGGGCCGTAGGTAGGGTGGCGGGGCCGGGGCCGGGCCGTAGGTAGGGCGACGGGGCCGGGTCCGAAGGTAGGGCGACGGGGCCGGGCCCGTAGGCAGGGCGACGGGGCCGGGGCCGGGCCGTAGTAGGGCGAACGGGGCCGGGTCGACGGTAGGGCGACGGGGCTGGTGCGCAGGTAGGGCGACGGGGCCGGGGCCGAGGCGCAGGTAGGGGCGACGGGGCTAGGGCCGGGGCCCGCAGGTATGGCGACGGGGCCAGGGTCGCAAGGGGGGGGGGGCGACGGGGCCGGGGTCGCAGGTAGGGGCGACGGGGCCGGGGCGCAGGTAGGGGCGACGGGGCCGGGGGCGCGGGTAGGGCGACGGGGCCGAGGCGCAGGTAGGGCGACGGGGCCGGGGAGCAGGTAGGGCGACGGGGCCGGGGTCGTAGGTAGGGCGACGGGGTCGCTAGGGGCGACGAATCAGGGGGCCGCTAAGGCGGCGCGACTTGGCCGCTAGGGCGGCTCGACGAAGTCAGAGAAGGGAGCGCGACTCGAGCATAGCGCGCTCCGGGCAGGAAAATAACAAAACTTTCGACTTGGTGGGCCCTAGGCACAGTTCCCACGAGGGAACCTGCTCGATACCATGTGAGAATTGAAACGAGAATGAGTGCACTAAGGAATGAATGTGGTACAAATATGCAACCCTAAAAATGTGTACCCCAAATATAGACTTTATTACGCTATATCTAGCTTGGGTTTTATTTATCATTCGTAAATATGCTTCATTTCCTAGGTTAGGTGCATCCTTATATTTTATTATAGTTATAGCACCGACCAGGTTACGTGTACCGAACTCAAGCCTATTCGGTTTCCACCGAATTGCTTTCTACTGAGTTCGGGAAAGGCTCTGTTCGAGGCGCTTCGTGACCCTCAGAACATTCGCGCAACACCTGGGTAAATGGCCTTGTGTCGAGACTATATGTAGCCTCGTGTTGTAACCCAGGTGAATCATTCAATTCACAATTCTCTTTCCTGAGCTCGATCCTAGATCCTCACACCAACCTTCTGCCGGTACTCCTCCTCCTCGCGCTCCTGTGCCTCCTTGTCATCGAATGTCAGCTCGGTGTAGGCGTCGACCAAGACCGGCGTCTTCGGACTCGGCCGCGGTGCTCCTCGTTGATGAAGCGCCTGCGCAGCTTGTTGGCGTAGTTCTGCTGGTGCAGCCACAGCTTCCTCGCTGGCCTATCGCGCACGATCTCCAGCCCGAGGTACTTGACGACCGGCGAAATCTTGTGCAGCTCAAAGGCAGCCTCCAGCAGCTCCTTCAGGCTCCTTCAGCATCGCGGATGCTACTGCTGGCGGCGAGCAGGTCGTCGACGTAGACCAGCACCCAGCAGGTCACTCCGTCGTCGCCGACCTTGAAATAGAGCGTCGTGTCGACCTGGCTCTTCTTTCAACCAGCGCCTAGCAGGCACACTGTCGAGAGCCTTGTACAACAGCAGTGACGACTACTTTAGCCCGTAGAGCTCTTCAGCAGCTTACACATCCGCCGGCCGTCCCATCCTCGAAGTAGTCTGGCTGGTAAATGTAGAGCACCTCATCGAGCTTGCTCTGCAGGAAAGCTTTCTTCATGTCCGAGCTGCATCAGGTTGAGGTCGAGGACGGCGATGATGCTGGGGAAGATCCTCAGCGTGACGTAGATGCTCACCGACGAGTAGATCTTGTCGTAGTCGGCGCCGTACACCCGCGTGAAGCCCTTCACGACCAGCTCGCCTTCCGCGCTCGGACGATGTCGTCGATGGCGGTACTATGGTCGTGAACACCCACCGGATCTCATGATGTTCACCCCACGTGGGCGTTCAAACCAGCTCCCAAGTGCCCATGCCGATGAGGCTGCGAATCTCCACTTCCATGGCGGGGTTCAGCACCTTGCCCTTCTAGCTCGCCAGCGCCTCCTTCACCGTCATTGTGTCGATGTTCGGCGGTGTTCGGGGTCGGGATGCACGTCGGGGTCGAGCTCCGGCAGTTCTTCATCCTTCTCTCGGCGTCCGTCGTATAACAGGCCGTCGTCGACCTCGTTGTACACTGTGGTGAAGGCAGCTGGCAGTAGGCAGGCGTGGAAGCTCAACCGCTCCGGCGGTTGGCGAGCTCGACCTGTGCGTCACAGCTCATGCTTCATGATTGGCACCTCCACACGTCACTGTCGATTGACTCTTCTCCTGCCGACAGCTCCCCTTCCTCGTCGACGTCCACGGACGTCGACACAGGCCTGCTTCGACCCCTTCGACCGGCTGCTCACCTCCTGCTGACCTTTGACATCTCCCATGTCGACCGCCACCCGTCTGTTGCTCCCCTGTCGACTGCAACCCCTGCTGCTAGCCTCCTGTTCGACCGGCTCCCCTGTCTGCTGCTGCTACCCTATCGTTGACGGCTTTCTATCCTGGTTGACGAGCTTGACGCCTTGTCGACCGTCGGCAATGCCACTGACCCGGCACCACAGGCGACGCCTCAAGGCTCCCCATCATCGCTAGTGGCCGAAACAGGCGTCGACGCAGGCCGATCTGCGACGGGGGAGGGAGGAGCAAGAATAGGGGGAGGTGGAAGAACCTCCACAACATCCTCATCAGCAGGGTTGTCGACTTCGCGAGCAGTGGAACCGTCGCCGTTGAGGTGTCCGTCGGCGGGTGTGCCTGCGTCCGCCCCGACGTCGGCCCATACTTCGCCTTCCACACCTCTAGCGACAGCGTCTCGTAGTCGACCGACGTGACCACCTTGTTGTCGATTAGGTCGAGCACCTCGGGGAGGGCTCTAAGGGAGCGGGGGCGGCTGCACAAGGATAGGGGAGCAACCCAGCCACCCTGGGGGCCGTGAGCCGTATGGTTCCTTATGGGTTGGGGTAGTCGCTAGGCCCTTGTCTTGCTTCTCTTCGCATGCATGTATTGCCTGGTTGTACCCCGTATATTATTAATGAAGGAATGCTTGAGAGAGAGAGAGAGAGAGAGAGAGAGAGAGAGAGAGAGAGAGAGAGAGAGAGAGAGAGAGAGAGCGAGAGAGAGAGAGAGGGAGAGAGAGAGAGAGAGAGAGAGAGAGAGAGGAGAGGGAGGGAAGTCAAAAGGAGGGCACGCAAGGCCACGTTGTGGTCACTTGACCATGCGGAAAGACTCACACCCGCACCTTGGTTGGTGGATTGGAAAAAAAAAAAAAAAATCGTATAATGTGGATGCTATGGGCGACCAATGGTTATTCGAATGGGTCAATAAGCACACATTCATCGCATGCACAGGCATTTCATGCACGAGAGGCTGGAGATCATATCCATAAGAACCTCATTTCGCATTCTTGATCCATTGTCACTCCGCAAACATGCAGAGGCAAGACGCCATGAGGTGTTAGACGACGACGATCCGTACGAATTCGCCGTCACAGACAAGACCGTCACGCAAATGCGCGGGCGGCTACGCGCAAACCCTTGCATGTTGGATCTCGTGGTGCCCAAGTAGCCTCATCTTCTCGGTCATCGCCAACGGCTACTGGCTACTATGGAGCCAAAACCCTCCACAAACCGTTTCACGAGCGCAACCATCTCGGGGCGCACACACACGCGGCATTCACACGCACTGCAATTCGCGAACTGACGGAGACCGGAGTGGCGGTAGCTACCCAAGCAGCGGAACTCACATGCATAAGCCCACTCAATGTGGTCGAGCAATGTGACAAGTGCAGGCTTATTCTCGACCTCCGGAAAGTGAACGCGCACCTGATAATCCCCAGATTCAAATACGAAGGACTGAGCCGCGTTGCCGACCTTGCACGCATAGGAGACCTGGATGTTCTCCATCGACCTCAAAACTGGATACCATCACATCGACATACACCACTCTTGCTGGAAATTCCTTGGCTTCGAATTCGAGGGGAGCACGTACTCTTTTCGCTCATTGCCATTCGGGCCTCGCGACAGCACCATTTGTCTTCACACAACTCATCAAACACTAGCCAGGCGCTGGCATGAAAAAGACATTCGAGTGGTACCATATGTGGACGACATCCTGTTTTTATGCACGTCCAAGGCACAGGCACAAGCAACGTGCCAGATGATAATCTTGGACCTCAAGATGGCGGGCCTGGTGATCAACGCGAAAAAGCCGCAGCTGTCACCATCACAACACCTGCGATTCTTGGGCGTCGAGCTGGATACCGACTCCGGACAATTCTCCATTGGCACCGATCGACGAGCATCATTTCATGCACACATTCTCAATCTACTGGGCACAAGCAAAGCACGTTGACAACTTCCAGTCCACCACCTGGCTAGAATCACTGGCACGCTCGCGTCAATGGCTGTCGCGTTAGGGGCCACGATGCGCGCATGTCAGCCACGCCATGCTACAGAGGGATCAACGACGCGCCATCTTGGGGAAGTAGTGTGAGCATTTCCCCACCTGTGGCCAAGGAGCTGCAATTATGGCTCGAGGAGTTTGACAGATTCAATGGCGCACCATTCCACGTCCGGAATAGTTACGACGCAGTAATCCACGTGGACGCCAGTTCCCACAGTTGGGGTACCACTCTGCTTTCCTTCCCGGGCGAACTCGAAGAAGCCAGTGCAGCCATGCCAGATGCACTGCACGCAACGTCCAGCACCCGACGGGAAATCGAAGGTGTCCTTTGGCCCTCCAAACGTACGGGAAACAAGATCTAACAAAAACACGTGCTTGTGAGGGTGGACAAGCAAGGGGTTTTCTTCATCCTTCGCAGAAGGCGGTTCCGGCACCCCCGACCTGACCAGCACCTGCAAGGACATCATTCGCACGTGCATGGAGCTCGGCACTCGACTAATCGTCGAATGGATCCCGCGCGAGCTTAACTCCCATGCTGACGATCTGTCGAAACTAATCGACCATGACGATTACTCATTGAAGCAACCATGGTTCCGAATCCTTGATCGCCATTGGGGACCCCCACTCAATCGATCTCTTCGCGAACTATCGAAACTCGCATATGCCACGATTCTGCTCAAAGATCTCCCACCCTGAGGCTACTGCGGTTGATGCATTCTCATGCTCATGGGCAACCGAGAATGGCTTCGCGTTCCCACCACCCCAGCTGATCCCAGCAGTCATCCACCACACACAACGCACCCACGCATCATTCACCCTAATTGCCCCACACTGGACGGGGGCAAACTGGTGGCCACTCCTACAAACCCTCCCCACCAAACTGGGCCCCGCACATCAGAGCGCACATTCCCCTGACGCAACGGCAGCCAATGCCTAGCAGTAGGAACGCACCGCACTGCCTTTTCAGGCACAGGACTGCCGCATAGCACAATCATTGCACTACGAGTGGTCTTCAACTAACCCACCTCATATGCCTTTGTGCAGACGTGTTGCCAAAACTACAAGTCCAGCTTCTAAAGATGCTCTCACAATCCTCGGGCCGATTCAATGATCCGAACATACGAGTCATACTGGGTCAAGTTTCGAGCCTTTTGTGCAAAGGTGAACCTCCCATTCCTCCCCACGGCGGACATGACCCTCGCGCTGTACCTGGTGTACGCTATCCAGCACAAAGCCACCTTGTCCATGGTACAACTCACATGCTCAGCCGTGAGCTTTGCACACCGCATGACCGGGAGCATATGCCCAACAACCGGACCATTCACCACCCAAGTACGCGACTTCGCAAAAAGACACTGCCCATCGCCCCACGCGAGTGAAGGAGCCTGTCTCGCTGCAACAAGTCCACGACATGTCTGCCAGCTATCTGCAATCCCGACAACCCCGGGGAGTTTCCAAAAAGGGCTAATCCCCATCCTCATGTACACCGGATGTTTTAGATATTCGGACCTCATCGTCATCGAGTGGCAAGACATTCAGTTCGAGAACGAGGTCATGTGGATTTTGATTCCGTACTCCAAGACGGACCAAGCTGGAAGGGGCACATGGATACCCATCGCTCCAACTCATGATCCCTTTTGCCCCGAATGCTGCACCCGACGACTCATCCAGCTCGCGGGATACGACCGGTAGCCGGCAGGGCCACATATTCGAATCTTTGGACGCGGTTCACCCCAAAGTGGCCAAGCAAGGCCGCCATCATACCCGTCAGAATATCATCATTGTCTAGTCTGCAGTGGGGTACTCTTTTGTGAGTTCAACCCAAATTAGGGTTTGCTATATGTACTGCCCTACTTACTAGTGAACCTCTCCTTTTCTCATTTCTGTTCCTGCCTGCTCTTTCTGACACGACGATCCGAAACTGGTGCAAAGAAGCGTTCGGGAAGATCGGATTAGGGGAACAGCAGGCTGGTACTCACTCCTTTCGCAAAAGAGCAGCCACTGCTGCGGCAAACACAAGTGTGCCAGACAGAATCTTCAAACGACTGGGCAGATGGCGCAGCGACACAGCGAAGGAGGTGTAACGTCACGCCCAACGCCGAACATCTCGTCAATGCCTCCCGTCAGTTGCAAGATCTGACATACGCCCCTTCTTCAGCGCAGCACGCGAGGCACTCGTCCGTCATCGAAAGCCCCCGCTGCCCATGTCTCAGAGACCCCAGTTGAAATGAGAACGATGCCAAATGATAAGTATAAGAAAGCAAGCTTTCTAAATATGATAATTCTTAAACACACAAAGTGTTTTTTTTAAATTACGTATTTTGAAAGCGCAACTGCCTGTAACGCAGATTTGGCATCGTCGAAGCGCGCTATACGCCCTTCTCCAACTACAAATCGTGGGTTGGAGCTCATTTCCCTCCACCCACGTCTCTCATTTTTCAAATGGCTCATGCAACTCTCCCACCCCCCGCCCCAACACCGAGGACATCAGTGCCGCCGCTTGAACAGGAGGACAGATAGTTAATACTATGATTGGTAGTACGCACGTATAATGCGTGATAGCTAGTACAATGATTGAGAGGTAGTAACATGACATGTACTAGCACCTATATTGTCTAGCTCGAGTGCATGTTGTACGGTAATTTGCCAGTTGAAATGAGAACGATGTCAAATGATAAGTATAAGAAAGCAAGCTTTCTAAATTTGAAACGTCAGCCCTGGAACGACGGTACCGTCTCCCCCCGGATATAAGCGCCACCCTAGGATAAGCGCCTGGCGCTTCTAATTGGCATATGGCGCTTATATCCCCTCCTCGATTATAAGCGCACCCCTTGAAAAAAACTTGTTTTATTATAAGCGCACGTAAACTTTAAAATTTGAAATGTGTTCAAAAAGCTGTAACGATTTTTACTTTAGCAGGCGGATATGTTGCAGATTCGGTTCCCTTCACATTCGGACCCTGCACTGGATGCGGGTCCAGTCAGCAGGACCTGTCAGGAGCTGGATGTGAGTCAGATTGGGTGTATCTCCCAGCGCGCGCGAGAATTTCACAGACGATCCCATGTAACTTCGACTCGATTGAAAAGGCAAGCACGAGACCTACAGTTTGGTGTTAAAAGATATAAAAAAATATGTATGTCATTTTATAAACGCCGGCGCTTATAAATTTACTCGATTATAAGCCCACCCCCATGAAAAAACCTGTTTTATTATTGCCCCCATGGGGGTATATCCGGGGGGAGACGGTATCGTTCCAGCTCTTTTGCCTTGTACAATGGTGGTGGTAACATGTACAGTATTGCAACATTACGGTACATACCGGTACTGGTCCCTGAAAACAACATGCGTTATTCTTGTTAGCAATATTTTGTTATCTTCACGAGCTAATCAGGAACAACGATCCTACGGTAAATCTATACTCCACTGCACACCCTGTCAACGTAAAACTCGTTTCCCACAGCTGTTTTCTACTCTCTGCTTACCCCCCTGGGGTGGGGTGGGGACCAATTCCAACCTCAGAACCTCCACTTCTAGTAAAGCCCCCCTTTTCCAAACCAGTCATTGAAGCCTCCACTGTGCGTTTCCACCAAAGCCCCCACCCGACCCACATCAAAACATAGCACAACGCTTCACTCAGCCCCACCAGCCCTGCCCATAACCCACCCAACCCACCCTCAGGCTGCACTCCACCCACCCATACCCACACACTCACCCCTGCCTCCAGGCTGCATCCATGTTGCATCGCTCCAGCAGCAATTACAGTACTATAATTTCATTGTGTACACCCACAGAGCCACTGTATCATACATGCACCAGTCCATAAAAACAACAGTCAGTCTGACGGACGACGCGCCTCCCCTTCCCCCCCCCTTCTTCCCCACCCTCCCCCCACCCTTCTCCATCCTTCTCCCTTTTCCTCCCCCCTCCCCTGCTCCCTCTCCCCTTTCTCCACCCCTCTCACTCCGTCGCCTCAGCAGCTGCATAGACTCATCATACACCCACTGGTGTATCACATCGGCTGCCCCTCTTCTGTCACCCCTCTGTGCCTCCCTACCAGCTCCATACCCCACACGACGCCTCCCTCCCACTTGCACCTCTCTCACTCATCCCCTCAGCAGCTGCATAGACCCATCATACACCCACTGGTGTGATTTTTAAGGCGCCTAAAAAATCACCTCAAAAGCTGTATAGACGCATCATACAACCCACTGGCGTGGTGCTTCACGTCAACCGCCCCGCTCCTGTCACCCCTGTGTGGCTGCATGCTGATCTCTCCCTGTACCACACCTCCCCTTCCGCACCTCTCCCCTCCTCTTCTAACTCACTCCCCCCCCTCCCCCCCCTCCCCCCATGTATTCATCATTTCAACGGCTCCATAGATTCATCATACACTGACCGGTGTGTCATCACATCGGCTGCCCCTCTTCTGTCATTCCTCCAGCTGCCCCTCACCACCTCACTCTCCTCCTCCTCATCCTCCTCATCCTCCCCATCCCCTCGGAACATGTTCTCAGCTCTCCTCCCCAGTCGGGCTTGTGATGGGGGACAGAGAGGGAGAGCTCTGCATGCGTCTAAGCGACTTGCGCTGCTGCTGTTGCTGCTGCTGCAGCTGTTGCTGCTGGGGATGGGAGGGCACGTGTGAGTGGGACGGCGAGCGCGAGTGTGACTGTAAAGGGGGTCGGTCGGCAGAGTGCAGCGGAGGGGTGGTGCCACTGCTGCTGGATTTCCTCACGGCGCGGGGGACAGGCGGAGGTGAGCTGGAGACGACCTGAAGTGGAAGAGAAGGAGGGGAGGGGCAGAAAGCGGTGAGGGGAAGACAGAGGGGGGTGGTGCCGCTGCTGCTGGATTTCCTCACGGCGCGGGGGACAGGCGGAGGTGAGCTGGAGGCAACCTGCAAGGAAATAGAGGGATGGTCGAGAGTGGCAGGGCAAGGAAATGAGATAAAGCGAGAATTAGATAAAGGGGTGGTGCCGCTGCTGCTGGATTTCTTTACGGCTCGTGGGACGGGCAGAGGTGAGCTGGAGACGACCAGGAGGGGGAAGAGGGGGGAGGGGCAACAATAAGTGAGGGGAGGCCAGAGGGGTGGTGCCACTGCTGCTAGATTTCTTTACAGCTCGTGGGACGGGCTGAGGTGAGCTGGAGACGACTTGAAGGGGAAATGAAGGGAGAGGGGAGGGGCAACAACAGGTGAGAGGAAAAATGAGTGGTGGCGCAAACACTGCTCAAGTTGGAGGGGAATAGAGGGAGGGAAGTGCAGCAGCAGGTATGTAATACGGGGCTAAATGGCTGGAAAGTGGACGGGAAAGTGTTGACCCAAAAAAGAAAGGCCCAAGTATTCACCTGACACAAAGCCATTCATCCATCTCACCTGCGACAGCCATTCATCCATCTCACCTGCGACAGCCATTCATCTCACCTGCGACAGCCATTCATCCATCTCACCTGCGACAGCCATTCATCCATCTCACCTGCGACAGCCATTCGTCCATCTCACCTGCGACAGCCATTCATCCATCCCACCTGCGACAGCCATTCATCCATCCCACCTGCGACAGCCATTCATCCATCCCACCTGCGACAGCCATTCATCCATCTCACCTGCGACAGTCATTCGTCCATCTCACCTGCGACAGCCATTCATCCATCTTGGGGTTACTGGCCCGCTCAATCCACATGCGCATGTCCTGTGCTGCCCGCTGCTCCGACCCCGTCCTGGGCTGCCTGCCCCCACCAGCACTCAGCGACCCCGGGTCCATGCTCGTGCTGCGCCACAGGGGGGACATAGACTGCGCCCTCTGCACCCCTCCTCCCCCTAACCCTCCCCCTCCCCCGACACTCCCCCCGCGGCCCAGGATTTTCCCAGCAGTGCCCCCCATGCGATTAGAAAGTTCTCCGCTTGTGCGCGGGCGGCTGTCTGTGAGAGATCGCATGGCTTCCATCGGGGACCCCAGCGAGGATTTTCTTTGCTGCCCGTCTGACCCAGCGGCGCTTCTTTCCTGCCCGCTGTCTGCTGCAGCCACAGAGGAAGCTCTGCCGCTCTCTCGCTGTTCCGCCAACGGGCTTCTACTGCTGCCATTGCCACTGCTGCCGCTGTAGGGGCTGCTGCTGTTGACCCGCCGGAGACTACCAGGAGTGCCCAGAGGCCCACCCCTGGATGCGTTCCCAGGAGCGGGGTTGCCTGGCCCAGACCCCCCACCCCTGCCTGCCCCGTAGCTCTCACTCTGCTTCCCCTCACCTGCCCCTCCCACCGCCCGACCCGCCCCTCTCCTCTACTCTCCCCCACACCTTCCCCCCCACCCCCTCCCCTCCCCCCGCTCCCTCTCCCCAGCCCCGACCCTCCCGGATTCCCCCTCCCCACGCTAGTCCCAACCCCTCCGCCCGCCCCTGCCCCCCCTGCCCGCCCGCCAGGCGCCCCTGCCCCTCCCCCTGGCGCATTCCCCCCAGAGGGCGGAGGCTTCCCCCCTCTCCCGTCGGGTCGGGGTATTCGCCCATGCCTGGGGCTCTCTGGAACGCGCTCCTGCCCGCCTGCGCTCGCCCCCACCTGTGAGTTCTGCCGTGAGTAACTTTCAGACGTGGACACTCGTAAGATGCTCTTCGGAGGGGCGGCCCCCCCTCCCCCCCCCGCTCCCCCTCCTCCCCCTCTCCCTGAGCCTCCCCCAGCCGTGATCTCTCCTTGGCGTCCTGCCTCGCCATGCCCCACTCTCTACTGTTATTCCACTCTCTACTATTATTCCATTCCCTGCTGCGATCCAGGTCCCGCCCGTCACGAGGAATAGAGACGTCTTTAGAAGACCCAGACGCCTCTCTCGAATTAGTAGCCTCTCGAGCACCACCAGAGGTATTCCGGGAGTCAGCAGTATCCCTGGTGGCATTAGTGGCCTCTCTGTTCCCGGATGCCTCACGAGTGCTCGTCCACTCCCGGCTGTTATTCCACTCCCTACTTTGATCCATTGGGTCACCACTCCCTCTCCTCTCCATTCCTCCTCTCCCACCTCCTCCTCCTCCTCCTCCTCCTCCTCCTCCTCCTCCTCCTCCTCCTCCTCCTCCTCCTCCTCCTCCTCCTCCTCCTCCTCCTCCTCCTCCTCTCCTCCTCCTCCTCCTCCTCCTCCTCCTCCTCCTCCTCCTCCTCCTCCTCCTCCTCCTCCTCCTCCTCCTCCTCCTCCTCCTCCTCCTCCTCCTCCTCCTCCTCCTCCTCCTCCTCCTCCTCCTCCTCCTCCTCCTCCTCCTCCTCCTCCTCCTCCTCCTCCTCCTCCTCCTCCTCCTCCTCCTCTGCCTCCTCTCTCCCCCGTTCCTCTTCTTTCCATCCCCCCTGGACCTGCCCTTGCCATACCTGCACTTCCTCCCCTCGCTGCCCTGACCCCACCTCCCCTCCCTCCTCCTACCCCACCTCCTCCTCTCCCTCCTCCTCTCCCCACGCCTTCCCCTCTCGGGCTAGCAGCCTGCTCCCTTAGGCTCCTATCGCTACCATTCCTCTCTATTCCTGACCCTCCACTCACACTACCCACTCTCCCACTGCCACTCCTCCCACTCCGCACGCTCCCCCCCACACTTGAACCCCCTCGACTGGACGACGATAATTCACCCTCATCCTCCTCCTCCTCCTCCTCCTCCTCTCCATTCACACTCCCTCCCACCCCTCTCTGGTCCCCCCCACTCCCTCCATGAATCTTAGACCAGATCTGATCCAGGGACGGCCCCTTGTCGTTTTCTGCATGTGATCCGATCCTGCTGTTGCTGCCGCCCATACTGCCGCCCATGCTGCTGCCGCCTTCCCTCTGCTTGCTGCCGCTACCGTAACGGTTATGGCTAGAGTTACTGTTAGTGTTACTGTAGATACTGCTTGCATCATCATCCTCATCATTACTCGTCAGCCCATCCTGATTCGAACTATGCCCACGGCCATTCCCATGCCCATGCCTATTTCCATGGGTACTCCCTCCCTCCCCAACGCTCTCTTCTTCATCCTCCTCCTCATCCTCATCATCACTCTGCAATGGGGTGCCAGCTTCCCACATTCTCTTCTGCGACCCACTTCGAGACAGCCTCCTCTGCCCTCCCTCTCCCCCTCCTCCTCCCTTTCCTTCTCCTCCTCTCACTCTTCCTCCTGCACCACCACCCTCTCCCCCACTCCCCCCGGACCCATCTCTCCTGCCTAGACTCCTCACTTCACCGCCAAAAGACTCCTCCCTCTGCCCCCCTCCGGCCAACCCTCCAGGCCTTCCGCCCAACCTCCCCCCGTTGCCACTGTCTGACCCGCTCGCACCAGCAGGGGAAGCGCGGGCAGCAGCAGAAGAAGCACCAGCAGAGGCAGAAGCAGAAGGGCCAGCGGCATAGGAGCCGCTGCCGGTTCTGCCGGCGAGCCAGCCTTGGGAGAAGCCTCCGTTGGACCCCCCTCCCAGCACCCCCTCCTCGTCCTCCTCGTCGTCACTCTCCACCTGAAGAAACGGGGGGTTGGGGGGGAGCAGTGGAGGGAAGGTGTCTTGAGATAGTGCTGGGGACGGGAGACAGTGGGAAGGGAAGGGAAGTATAAGTCCCCTCCACCACACCCTCCTCCTCCTCCTCGTCATCACTCTCCACCTGAGGAAGGGGAGAGATGGTGGGGTGGAGGGAGAGAGAATTGTAACGAGAGGGAATGAACATAGGAATGGGCATGGGCATGGGCATGGGCATGTGCATGGGCATGGGCATGGGCATGGAGCGCGAGCGCACGAGAGAGTGCTAATAAGATGTGAGCTGAGGGCTCACGTGGGGAGTGGTGGTGGCTCACCTGGAAGTTCATGTAAGCGATGGACATGGACATGGAGCGCGAGCGGGCGCGCACAGACAGGGCTGAAAAAGGCTGCCTGGCCGGCAGACACTCATCCCCCTGCCCGTGCAGCTTCCTGGAAGCTGCTGACGTTGCTGCTGGCAAGGCGTCTAGGAACTTCCTTCCTTTCTCCCCCCCCCCTCCTCCTCCTCCTCCTCCTCCTCCTCCTCCTCCTCCTCCTCCTCCTCCTCCTCCTCCTCCTCCTCCTCCTCCTCCTCCTCCTCCTCCTCCTCCTCCTCCTCCTCCTCCTCCTCCTCCTCCTCCTCCTCCTGCTCCTCCTCCTCCTCCTCTCCCACCCCCCCTCTCCTCCTCTCTCTCCTCTTCGCATTCTGCCTATTTCAGGCCCCACACCTGACTTCGCCCGAACCAGGGGAGACTTGGCTCGGTGCCGAGCCTCAGGTCCAGCCAAGCCTGCCCCGGGATCAAGAGGGATGGACTCGGCTGACCTGGGCGCGGCAGAGCTGCGAGAGCGAGGGAAGCTGGTGTGAGCCTGAGGGGATGCTGCAAACGCAACTCCACCTCCACCACCACCACCACCAGTATCTCCACCACCACCACCACCAGCACGTCCACCACTGCCAGCAGAAGCAGCAATGCCACCACCTGCACCTCCTCCTCGTCTACCTCCCACCTCTCCCATCCCACCACCCAAGCCACCACCCAAGCTACCACCCAAGCCACCACCCAAGCCACTGCCACCACCCTTGCCACTGCCACCACCCAAGCCACTGCCACCACCCTTGCCACCACTGGCAGCACCGGCAGCACTAGCAGCAGTGGGGCCAGGGGGTGCGGCGGCCCCTCCTCGGGGGCGGGGGCGGCCCCGGGAGGAGTCATCAGAGGCACAGCCTTCCGACTCCGACCCCAGCACATCGTTCCATGACCCAAATGACGGGTACGCTGCCAGACTCTTTCCCCCCCTCCCCCCTGTCGCTCCCCCTCGCCCCCCTCCCCCTCCCCCACCTGCTCCCCCTCCCCCTCCCCCTCCCGTTCCTGTGCTAGTCATTGCTCCCCCTCCCATCCCACTCCTGTCCATCCCACTTGCTGCTCCTCCCATTTCTCCTGCTCTCCCGCCTTCGCCTCCCCCAACCACATCGCCCCTCGATTCCCCCACAGCATCCCTCCCCTGTACCTTCCCGACACCCCTCCCTGGAACAAACTCAACAGTATCCTCCCCCTCTCTCTCACTCTCCCCTCCTGCCCCCCTCCCGTCCCGCCCCACACCCTGCTGCCTCTGCTGCTCCTGCTGCCGCTGCTGCTCCTGCTGCTGCAGCAGCAGCTGCCGCTTCGTCTGCTGGTACCTCAGCTGCGGCGACGTGGGCTTTAACTCACCCGTCGGGCTCTTCGCCTGGGTCAAGCTCTCCCTGATCGCCTTCTCAATCTCCCGCGGCCGGATCGGCTTCGATAAATAATAGTCCATCCCAGCAGCCATGCAGCTGTCCTTATCCTCGCTAAGAGCAGACGCAGTAAGCGCGACGATAAACGTCCGGTGCGGCCGCGGGGGCATATGAGCCCTTCGGGGCTGGGAGGGGGAACTAGCCTCACTATCGCTGGCATCGCTTTTATCCACCCAGCTGGCGGCGCTGCCGTAAGGGGAGCCGTTACCACAGGCGGCCATGGCTGCTGTGTACACCTGCAGCCTCTCCACCTCCATCTCCCTGATCTTCCTCGTGGCTTCAAACCCATCCATCTCTGGCATGTGGCAGTCCTGCACAAATGGCAGGGGGAGAGTGGGAGGGGCGGGAAGGAGAGGGGAATGGGTTACCACAGGCGGCCATGGCTGCTGTGTACACCTGCAGCCTCTCCGCTTCCATCTCCCGAATCTTCCTCGTGGCTTCAAACCCGCCCATTTCTGGCATGTGACGGTCCTGGTGGGGGGAATATGGATGGGGGGAGAAGGTAGCGGAGTGGAGAGAGGGGGAGTGGGTGGGCGGGTGTGAAAACTGATAATTTTGGGTTTAGGGGCAGGGAGGGCGGGGGAGCGTGGCTCGGCACGAGGGCAACTTTGTTGCACGGCATGAAGGGCAGCAGCAGATAACAGCAGCAGGGCGACTCACCATGAGCACGACGTCGTAGCAGCGCTCGGAGCACGCGCGCACGGCGAGCTTGCCGTTCTCCACCACGTCGTACTTGAGGCCCAGGTTGTGCAGCATGCGCGTCGCCACCATCTGATTAACCTTGTTGTCCTGCCAGAGGAGTAAGGGGGGAAGCGGTGTGGGGGGGGAAAGTGGGGAGAGAAGGGAATGGGTGGTTTGGGGGGAATGGGGTGAGTAAGCAAACATCTTGTGCTGTCAGCTTCCCATTCTCCGCCACGTCCTACTTCGCTGCAACCATCTCCTACTTCCCATGTTTTTCAGTCGACTAGAAAATTCGCCCACCGCTCTCCTGCAGGTGCTTCCACAGCGGCTGCTCCCTTGGTCTCCTCGCCTCTGATGCCATTACCCCAGCCACTAGCGACCCCAGCGCCGCCAACACCCACTCACCTCGGCAACGAGCACTCTGAGGTCCTGCAGGTGCTTCCACAGCGGCTCCACGTCACTTGTGAGCGACTGCTCCGCCGATGCCGTGGCTGACTGGGCGTCGCGCCTCACCACGCCCACCCGCACGTGGAAGTAAAAGGTGGACCCCACGCCCACCTGGAAAGAGGTAGGGCAAGAAGGGGGGGGAGGTAGGGCAAGAAGGGGGGGAGGTAGGGCAAGAAGGGGGGGAGGTAGGGCAAGAAGGGGGGGAGGTAGGGCAAGAAGGGGGGGAGGTAGGGCAAGAAGGGGGGAGGTAGGCAAGAAGGGGGGGAGGTAGGGGAAGGGTTAAGAGGTAGGGAAAGGGGTAGAGGTTAGGGTTTTGAGGTGCCCCAGAAAGGCCTCCCTGGGCCACGAGTCACCATCCCCACACACACGTGGCAATCCGGCCCGACCGACCCTAAACCCACCCACCTGGCTGTGCAGGCTGATATCGCCCCCCATGAGGATGCAGAGGCTCTTGCAGATCGCCAGGCACAGCCCCGCGGCTGGATTTGATTGGTCTCAGATCAATAACTAAAGCCAAATAGCCTTGGCCTCAACTCAACTCACTTGCCTGTGCAAGCCCGCCCCATGCCCCTCCCCTTACCTGGCTGTGAAGGCTGATATCGCCCCCCATGAGGTTGCAGAGGCTCTTGCAGATCGCCAGGCCCAGCCCCGTGCCACCGTAGCGGCGGCTGGTGGAGTTGTCAGCCTGGCTTGCCAAGCCAGTTCATATCAAGACTCGGCCCCAACGTACCTGGCTGTGAAGGCTGATATCGCCCCCCATCAAATTGCAGAGGCTCTTGCAGATCGCCAGGCCCAGCCCCGTGCCACCGTAGCGGCGGCTGGTGGAGTTATCGGCCTGCGAGAACGCCTTGAACAGCCGGCTGCGCGCACTCTCGTCCATGCCCACTCCTGTGTCCCGCACCTCAAACCGCACCATCACACTCTCATCCCCCTCGCTCTCACTTTCACTCTCGCTCTCTCCCTCGCTCTCCTCCTCCCTTTCTCCCTCCTTCCCCTTGCCGCCGCCCTTGCTCTGGTTCCCGCTCCTGCTGCCGCTGTTGCTGTTGCCGCCGCCGCCAGCAGCGGCAGTGGTGTTGGTGGCGCCGTCTGTAAGAAGCTTCGGGGTCGCTGCCTGCTCGACCTCTTTGATCTCCTCGTCAGTGGCCAGACGCAGGTCCACTGTGATTCCGCCACTGGGGGGGGAGGGCAGGGGCGCGGAAGGAGGGCAGGGGCGGGGAAGGAGGGAAGGGGCGGGGAAGGCGGGAAGGGGCGGGGAAGGAGGGAAGGGAGGCAAGAGGTGCGAGGGGGGAGGGGAAGAGGTGCGGGGGGAGAGGGGAACAGAGGGGAAAGGGGAGGCGATGAGTCAAAGAGGACGTTCAACAACGAACCCACCTGTTTGCCTCTTTGCAGAACCATCGTTCCTTCCATCCATCTGCTGAGCTGAACACTCCCAGGACACTCCCTTACAGGTGAACCAGGAACCCATAGGAACCCACTCATCCGTGAGCTCAGCTCAACACTCACTTATCAGTGAATTTGATGGAGTTGGAGATGAGGTTCAGCAGCACCTGTCTCAACCGCACTGGATCGCCCACCACTACGGACGGCACCTCTTCAGCGATCTCCAGCTCCAAATACAGCCCCTTGTCCTTCGCCACCACCTCTAGCAGCGCCAGCGCCTCTGTCACCTGCAGCACGGGAGGGAACAAGAGATGGTGAACATGGGATGGGGAGACTGGGAAAAGAGAGACAAGGCCTCTGCTTCATTCATCTCCAGCTCCAGCCTCCAGCCTCCAGCCTCCAGGTACAGCCCCTTGTTCTTCGCCACCACCTCTAGCAGCCCCTCTTGCAGCGCCAGAGCGCCTCCGTCACCTGCAGCACGGGAGTGAAGGAGATAAGAGTCAGGGAGACAACAGACAAGGACCCTGACTACTGAACTCAGAGTTCTCTGACAGCGATGCTTGAAGCTCACCTGCTGCTGGATATTGAACTCTATGTGTTTCTAGCGCCAGGTTCTTGGATTCGATCTTGGATAGATCCAGCACATCGGATATAATTCTCAGGAGATTGTCCCCCGAGGAGCGGATGATCTCGAGGTACGAGCGCTGCTCCGCTGTGAGGTCCGTTCCTAATAGCAGCTCCGCCACTCCGATCACACCTGGACGAAAGTTTGAGAGGGGGACGGGCAGTAGAGAGAGATAGGGAAAGGAGAGGACGACCGGATGATCTCGAGGAACGAGCGCTGCTCCGCTGTGAGGTCCGTGCCCAGTAGGAGCTCCGCCACTCCAATCACACCTGGGGGGAATGAATGAGAGAAAACAACGGGGGAAGCACAAGCGAGGGACAAGGGGATGGGAAGGGAGGGATGAGTCTGAGGCATGGTATGAGCTCCTGTGCTACCAGTTACTTTCTCCTGTAGATTTTACTTTTGAGAATTCCCAAAAGTAAAATTCACATACACGGTATGAGCTCCTGTGCTACCAGTTACTTTCTCCTGTACATCGTCAACCAAAACCATCAGGTACGTCCAAGTACAGGCCTCAATTCTTGAGTGCAACACAACACAGCACGCACCGTTCATGGGGGTACGGATCTCGTGGCTCATGTTGGCGAGGAACTGGCTCTTGGCCTGGCTGGCCTTCTCAGCGGCGTCCTTGGCGGCTCTGAGCTCCTCCGCCTGCTGCTTGATCTCGGCCACCTCATGCCACACCACCAAGTACATGGCGTGCTGCTGCTGCACCTCCAGGAACGTCAGCGTCACTTCTATTGGGACTAGAGAGCCGTCGAAACGTTGGTACACCCACTCGAATCTGAGGGGCGGGGAGGAGGGGACGGAAGGGGATAGGAGGGATGGGATGGGAGGGATGAAAGGGAGGGATGAAAGGGAGGAGAGGGGGCGAGTGTTGGCGGCTCTGAGCTCCTCCGCCTGCTGCTTGATCTCGGCCACCTCGTGCCACACCACCAAGTACATGGCGTGCTGCTGCTGCACCTCCAGGAACGTCAAAGTCACTTCTATGGGCACCAACGAGCCGTCAAACCGCTGGTACACCCGCTCAAACCTGACGGAGGATGGGGGGACGGATGGGAGGGGAAAAAGAGTGTAGAACGGATTGGGATTGGAAGAAAATCACAGTGGTGCAATCTACAAATGCCCTTCCTGTCCCCTTCCCTCCCCCCTCCCCACCTCATCTCGTACCCTTCGCCTCACCTTCATTCCCTTCTCCTCACCTTCATTCCCTTCTCCTCACCTTCATTCCCCCCACCCGCCTCCCAGCACCAATCTCACTCACTACTGCAACCACCCCCGCCTCCCCTCCACCCAAACCCCACCCCCCCATCCTTCCCCCCTACGCACTTGTGCATGCCCACCACGTCCCCTCCCACCCACCCCTCCCCTCCTCACGCACTTGTGCATGCCGTGCTGCTCTGCCCTCCGGTCCATGGCTTTAGCCTTCTCTTTGGACAGCTGCCCGTCCGGCTGCTTCAGCGGCGAGAAGAGCGCGGGGTGGTGGCCCAGCAGGCTGGCCTTGTCGGGGCAGCGCAGGCAGCGCACCGCCGCCTCGTTGCACTCGGTGATGCCCGTCTCATCAAACACCAGGTAGCCGTCCTGCAGGGGGGATCCAGAACAAGCGGGCGAATGGAGGAGGAGGGGAGCAGGGGTCGGTGGGGTTGGAACAGCACCTTGTGCCCCCTGCACTCCATGACCCCGTCTCGTGGAGTGCAACAACCCCACCTCACCACCACCTTGTTGCACTCCGTGATCCCCGTCTCGTCACACACCAGATAGTCATCCTGATGGGGGGGGAGGGGGAGGGGGAGGAGGGGTGAGGGAGGAGAAAGGAGGGGTTGGGTGGGAGGAGGGGCGCATGAGTCGGGGGCGTTAAGAAGGCAGCGCAGTCACCTCGCTGCTGCCTCGTTGCACTCCATTATGCCCGTCTCGTCACACACCAGGTAGCTGTTGGTGAAGAACACCAGGCGGAGGGGAGGGGGAGAGAGGAAGGGAAGGGACGGGGTGCGGGAGGCGGGATCATTGGTGTTGGGACAGACAGGGGAGAGGAAACGGCGGGGGAGATGGGTTAGGTGACGGGTATGGGAGAGGGGATGGGAGGGAGTGCGTGGTTAGAGGCAAGAAGAAGGCAGGGTGGCACACACACACACACGTGCGCGCGCGCGCGCACAAACACACAGACCCATACCCATACCGATACCCACAAACACCGAACAAGTCAAAGGCGCACCGAGGAGAAGTCAAAGAGCAGGCGGAACTTCTCCTGCACGATCAGCCGGTCCGTGATGTCACTCACCACCCACAGCTCCCCGCCCCCTCCCCCCTCCGCTGCTCCCCCGGTTATGTCACTGGAAGAGGAAAGATTGCTGCAGTCGCGCCCCACCACCTCCACCCACCGCTGCTCGCCGTCGCTCCGCACCACACGCATGGTGCGCGGATGGGGGAACCCCGCCTTCCTGTCCGCATCCATCACCTTGCGCACCTGCGGAGAAAGCGGGAGAGGGAGAGCGGTTTGCAGAATGATGGGAATAAAATGCTTCTTTCACCCACTGCTGCTCCCCATCGCTCCTCACCACACGCAGAGCATGCAATGCAGCATAGGTGAGGGAAGCCTGCCTTGCGATCTGCATCCATCATCTTGCGCACCTGGGAGGGAGGGTGTGTGGGTGAGTGGGTGGGTGGTGGGGAAACACAGGGTGAGAGGGTGGATTTCCTACCTGCCTTCTCTTCTTATCCTTACTGCTGCTTCCCATGGCCTCTCTCCCCTCACCTCCGCCTCTCTTTCCCGAGCAAGACCCTAGTAGCGCCTGTTCCCACCTAAGCCTCTTTCCCTCCCGGAAGAACAGCGAGAACCAGCCATCTACACTCCCCACCTGCTCCCACGAGAAATGAAGTTGCTTTGAGTCGTCCTAAAAACAGCATCATTATCACCCAGACCTGACGAGTCGGATTTTGAGTCGACTCAAAAACCGGACCAAGTTGCTATGAGTCGTCTTAAAAACAGCATCACTATCACCCGGACCTGACGAGTCGGATTTTGAGTCGACTCAAAAACCGAACGAAGTTGCTTTGAGTCGTCTTAAAAACAGCATCATTATCACATGGACCTGACTCTCCCAAGCAAGGCCCTCAGCCCACCCTGTTCCCCACCTCGGCCTCTCGCTCCCGGAACAGCAGCGAGAACCACTCGTCCACACTCCCCAGCTCCTCCCGCGAGTACCCCACTATCGCCTCCACATGCGCATTCACCAGCACCTCCCCACCCTTTCCCCCCGCTCCCCCTGGCCCCCCCGCTCCCCCCGGCTGCGGCAGCACGTGCACCACGCCCGCAGGTAGATGCTCCAGAATGAAGCGGTGGCGATCTGAGGAGGGCGGCTGGTACGGAGAGACGCAGGGAGAGGAGAGGAGGGGGGGATAGGGGGGAAGGGGGAAGGAGGATTGGCCTGAGGGAGGGATAGGGAGGAGGAAGAGTGGTGAGAGGATTGGTATGGGAGAGGGTGGGACATGGAAATACCACACCATCACACCACATCACACCACACCACATCACACCACACCACATCAGACCACACCGCGCCAGACCACACCGCACCATGGACTTCTAATTATGGAAATTGCAGGCAAAGAGGGGATCAGAATGGCGCCATTCTCCATTGACGGTTCAGGAACTGCATCGCAATGGCAGAATAGTGGATCGAACCAGGCAGGTCACGCACCTTCGCAGTGCTGGCAGCTGCCAGGTCGCAAATCACAGCCATGACCATCGACACATGATTCCCAGTACCACCAGCAGCAGCAGCATCACCACCACCACCCGCTACCCCTGCTCCCACTCCTCCACCAGTGGAAGTTGGAGGGGCGGCCTCGACCGTGATCCGCACAGGACGCAGCTTGCCGCCCGGCAGCACCAGCCGCACGTCGTGCTGGCGCTGCCGCTGCCACGCTGGCGCTGACATGGACGCGCCACGTAGGACGGCGTCAGAGACTGTAGAGAACCACGCCTGGAAGGCTGCCACGTCATCCCGGGCAATAAAATCCTCCATCACCCGCCCCTCCACGGCCCGGGCCGGGCGGCCCAGCATGGCTGCCAGGGCGGCACTGCAGTGCGCCAGCTCAGCGCTGCTCACCCGCAGCGCTGCCAGCGCGACAGAGGCAGAATCAAGCAGCGATCTGATAGGGTGGGTTAGGATGAGGTGGAGTAGGGTGGGGTGGCATGAAGAGAGGCAAGTGACTATTGAGGAACCCCAGGAGTTGAACGCGCCTGGAATGCAGCCACGTCATCCCGGGCTATGAAATCGTCCAGCACGCGCCCCTCCACTGCCCGGGCCGGGCGGCCCAGGGTTACAGGGGGGAGGACAACACAATGGGGGCTGTACAGGGTGGGACAACACAATGGTGGGCAGCACAATGGTGGGCAGCACAATGGTGGGCAGCACAATGGTGGGCAGCACAATGGTGGGCAGCACAATGGTGGGCAGCACAATGGTGGGCAGCACAATGGTGGGCAGCACAATGGTGGGCAGCACAATGGTGGGCAGCACATGCGAGAGGATACAGCGGGGGGGGGCACACGGGGAAGCATACAGTCGATGTGGGGGCATTCCCAAGAGAATTTCCGGAGAAGGGGGTCTGGCAGCCAGTGGAAATCAATGGTGTCTTGCAACCAGTGGTGGTGGGAGAGGAAAGACGGCCGTCCCAGTGAACTCAGGAGTGTGAACTCAGTGAGCATGCAGTGGGGTGGGGGGAAAGCATGCAGTGGGGTGGGGGGAAAGCATGCAGTAGGGTGGGGTGGGGGGAAAGCATGCAGTGGGGTGGGGGGAAAGCATGCAGTAGGGTGGGGTGGGGGGAAAGCATGCAGTGGGGTGGGGGGAAAGCATGCAGTGGGGTGGGGGGAAAGCATGCAGTGGGGTGGGGTGGGGGGAAAGCATGCAGTGGGGTGGGGGGAAAGCATGCAGTGGGGTGGGGGGAAAGCATGCAGTGGGGTGGGGGGAAAGCATGCAGTGGGGTGGGGTGGGGGGAAAGCATGCAGTGGGGTGGGGGGAAAGCATGCAGTGGGGTGGGGGGAAAGCATGCAGTGGGGTGGGGGGAAAGCATGCAGTGGGGTGGGGGGAAAGCATGCAGTGGGGTGGGGGGAAAGCATGCAGTAGGGTGGGGTGGGGGGAAAGCATGCAGTGGGGTGGGGGGAAAGCATGCAGTCGAGCGTACCTGAGAGGGGGCTCTGGCAGCCAATGGACGTCGATAGCATCCTGCACCCAGTGCTGGGGAAAATGGCCCTCTGGTGGGGGAGAGGTACAGTGGCAGAGGAGGGCGGTTCGGGAGGAGGAACAGGGGAGAGAAAAGGGGGGTTGGGGATGGAAGGAGTCTTGAGGCGCCTCAAAAGCAGCCAGTGGACATCGATAGCATCGTGCACCCAGTGCTGGGGGGAAATGGCCCTCTGTGGGGGGGGGAAGAGGTCCAGTGGCAGAGGAGGGCAGGGGAGGAGGAACGGGGAAGACAATGTGTCGTGTAGTGAATCGGCTCAAAACAGCGGATGCCTATGGCATCCTGCACCCAGTGCTGGGGGAAATGGCCCTCTGTGGGGGGAGAGGTGCAGTGGCAGAGGAGGGCGGGGGAGGAGGAACCTTGGAGAGAAAGGGGGGGATGGGGATGAAACGAGAGGGACAGGAATGAGAGAGTGGAGGGGGGGAGGTTTGCCAGTGAGGCTTTGTATATTCCAGGCTTGTCAATGTTTTGCTATTCAGCCCTCGCGTCCTCACCTGCCCCAACCGCTTCTCACCGCACCCAATTCGTGTCCCTTTTCTCCCCCTTCCTCACCCCCATACTTCCTCTCCTTATGTGGCAAGCCAAATCCCCTCCTCCTCCTCGAACAAAACTGTGTTCCCCAATCCCCTCCATTCCCCCCGCCAGCACTCTCCCTGTCTATGTTCTCCCCACCTGCGTTCCCCCTCCCCCTACGCCCGCCTCCTGCGTTCCCCCTGTCAGCGTTCCCGATTTCCCCTGCGTTCCCCCTGTCAGCGTTCCCGATTTCCCCTGCGTTCCCCCTGTCAGCGTTCCCGATTTCCCCTGCGTTCCCCCTGTCAGCGTTCCCGATTTCCCCTGCGTTCCCCCTGTCAGCGTTCCCGATTTCCACTGCGTTCCCCTTGTCTGCATTCCCCGTGTCCCCTGCGTTTCCCCTGTCTGCGTTCCCCGTGTCCCCTGCGTTTCCCCTGTCTGCATTCCCCGTGTCCCCTGCGTTTCCCCTGTCTGCATTCCCCGTGTCCCCTGCGTTTCCCCTGTCTGCATTCCCCGTGTCCCCTGCGTTTCCCCTGTCTGCATTCCCCGTGTCCCCTGCGTTTCCCCCGTCTCCAGCATTCCCCGCTTCCCCTGCTCACCTGAACCAAACCGCGACTTGCGGTCCTTCTTCCCCACCCGCCCCAGCGTGTCACATCTACCCGCGGAGCCCTGCATCCGCGCATCCTCCCCTGCACCCGCGCCTCCCCCTCCCCTCCCCGCGCCCATCCCCCTCCCAGCCCCACTCCCCATCCCCAACCAGCCAATGTCCCCTTCTTCTACACTCATCATTCTTCCCCCAGGCCCCCCGCCCCTCGCTTTCCGCCCTCGCCCCATCTCCTCTCCGCGGAGCATTCCCCCCGTGGCTCCCCCCACCGTTCCGCCAATCGCCCCCGCGCCCGCGCTCCTCCCAAACGCGTCGCCTTTCGCTAACAGCATATTCTTACTATCCATGGAGCTAACGTCCATGCTCTGCCACCTATTAAGCCGCGACTCGGGTCTACGCGGCTCGGGAGATCTAGACGGCGACCGCCGATGCATTGGCGACTGGCTAAGCGAGTCCTGCCGGCTAGCCGAGTCCTGCTTACGGCTAGCCGGCTGCGAGAAAACGGCAGTCTGGGACCGGTTGAATGGGTCTGACGGCATGGGCATGTGAACCTTTCCCCCGATGCTTAACCCGCGGCGGAGCGGCTTGGGCTGAGGGGAGGCGGAAGGGGAGGCGGAAGCGGGGGAAGCAGAAGCATCATGAGCTGCGGAACCGTGAGCGCTGTGAAACGCGCCGTGAACCGCGCTTGCTAGCTGACTGTCGAACCCGCCTTTTCCCGCAACGCCTCCTCTCCCTTCTGCTGTCGTCATCCCCCCCTCCTCCGCCAAGCCCGCGCCCTCCTCGCCAGGCGCCGCTGGCGACTCAGCCAGCGGCGGCGGCGGCGGCGGTGATAGCGGCTGCTCATGCGCTGTGGCGACGAGCTCCCTCTCCCCGCCAATGCCGAAGAACTGCAGATCGATGGACACCGCAATGCTCGATGCGCCTTGCCCCTGCGCCTGTCCCTGCGCGTGCCCCTGCGCCCCTCCCGCTGCCCAGTCCCGTCCCCCGGCCCTCCCTCTGCCGCTCCTGCGTCTGACTGACCCGTCATCTGCGGAAGCTAGGTCCGACTCCTCTCCCTCCTCCTCCTCCTCCTCCTCCTCCTCCTCCTCGTTATCCTCCCCTTCCTCCGCCTCCTCCTCGTCGTCCTCTAACAATTCGCCAGCTCCCGCCTCGCCAACATCCGAAACTGAAGAGACGGTTCGGATTGACCGAACGTCCTCTGACGTGCTAGATACTATCCCCGATATAGACCCCGAGCCGGCTCCGGCTCGAGATAAGCTACCTTCCCCCCAGGTTCCCCGTCTGAGGAGATTCGCCGCAGCCCATTCCGAGCCTCCGCTGCTGCTTCGGCTGACGTCTCCATGCCGAACCTGCGCGTTCGGAACCCTCGGTCCGGGACGGCCGTGAATCGCGGCGTTATTCCCGGCCCCTCTAATTTCCCCGACTTCCCCGTCCGTCTCTGATTCTTCTTCTCCATCTCCGCGGGCCTTCGCTGGCAGAACTACCGAGAATCGCGCAGCCTTTTCTTCACCCGTGGCCAGAGGCGCGACCAGCTGGAGCCAGTCAGCCAATGGGAGGCCATCCACAAGATTGCAAAGCGATAAGGCTTCCAGCTCAGCATTGTTGTATCCAAGGGTTCTCCGCGCGCCTTCGCTGGCGCAGCAGATCCTGGCCGTCCACGGGTCGAGAACGAACTGGAGGAACTGGGCCTGCTGTACAAACCCTAAAACGGTCTGGCTCCTTCCGCCGCCGCCGAACGTCCCTTGGGGGTTGTTCCCGCCGGAAACTCCGCTCCTCCTTCGCCGTCTGTTGTTGGCAACGTGTCCGGGTCTCCCGTTTCTGGAAAACCTGGAGCTCTGATAGGCCACTGAAACCGTCATTAGTTACCGCTAGCGGTTAGAGGTTAAAAGTCTTGATACTTAAATAGTACAGTAAGGTATTACACACGCTAAGCTCCGGACACTTCGCATGCTGCTCTACTGTGTCTTGAAAATGAGTTAGCGGTCGTGCTCTGGTTGACACGCCGTTAGTTGTCAGAGCTTGATGGTGACAGAGTTTAGGACGTGGCGCCTGCGAACGATGGAACTGCAACCAATCAGTAAATCAAAGCTACGCTTTAGGTCAACTTATGCTAAATACTTGCTACAATCAGTAACTGTCCGTCCTACTCTTTTGACAGAACTGCTACCACAAACACCCCACCATAGCCGCAAGTCCTTAGCTCATTCTGAGCCTACAACAACAATTTCGTCACCAAGGCAAATGCGGGGGAGTGGTCGTGGAAGACGGAACAATTGGGTAAATCACCGACATTGCGCTCTCAAAATTTGGTCTACAATAGGTTTGCATAGCACAATTACCAGGTACAAAGTACGGGGAAGGAAGGGCTCTTTGTACAGTGCAGCCGGCTGCTCTGAAAACGAAACAAGCTTTTCCATGCTTATCAACTTTCTGACTCGAAATACTTCCGTTTAAACTTCTCAGATCATTTTCGTTTAGCCTGCCCCGCTGAGACTTTTACCGTACCTGAGTTTAACCCTGATTTTCACTAGCCACAGGCACACCAGCCCAGAGTTACCGCGCTTCGATGGAAAGAGACCTTGCCGGGGGAGAATGTGCGTCCCTCCCACTCCCACAGCGCCAGCCAACTGCCCCCACCAACCCTGAGGCGTGCGGCTTGTTGAACAAAGTGTCGTGCTGTCGGGGACGAGCCTGAGACTTCGGCCCTCCTGGCCCCAAAAAATATCATTTATGATTGGCTGAAGGGCAATCCCTGCGGTTTGGTGGAAGGCTTGCCTTGGCTGGATGCGAGTTCGATAGACGACACCAACACCAGAACTGATCCCAAAGCTCGCGTCGCCTTACCACATTGCGGTGATGAGCTTGACGGACGTCAGCATTCCTCGAACAGAGCCAGACGGAGGAACGAATGTTTGTCCTCGATGATGCAATTATCGCTAAGATACGACTGCACATAGACAAAACCAACAGAATGACTCAAGGAGAGGGTGCACTGCGTGCTAGGGTGCAGGTTTATCACTTGCCCAGTTAGATTGCAAGCGCGAAGGTAGTTCTTCATTTATTGGTTCTATCACTCTCCACCTTACTGCTGCTGTAATCAACTGGACTGCCGAAATAGGGGATGATGCCCAGCAAATCAGGGGCCCCTTGTAAGGACTGGATGAGCAAGAGAAACCTGCCAGTCTGTCTCTAAGCCATAAGGGTCAAGTGGATACTATTTGGATCTCTTCGCCGTTTCATTGTCCGTGGTCTCTGCTCCCTGGCCTCCCTCTCAGTGATAATACGGTAATACTAATATCCCTTTTGTGCCGCAGCAATTACTGTTTCTCCCTGGCCTCTCATCCATGCAGAAACGCATGTATGGTACATCTGGTGCACAGTGCACATACTGGCAAGGTAAAGGTGATGATGATGATGATGATGATGATGATGATGATGATGATGATGATGATGATGATGATGATGATGATTCCATCAAGGCGATGGCAAGGGAAAGATGAAATTGCTGTACGACCACCCAGCTGCCCAAGGGCACTGCACTGGTTACGCCATCATCTCAGCCCAGCTCAATCAACGGCCCCATCCCCCCCCAACCCCCCCTTCCCCCACCATAGCATGCTTCTCCTTCATGCCGTGCAGTTGCCTAGACTTGAGTGCGGTGATGACCAGAAGCTGTTTTTCCATCCCACCTTTTGTGTCGACTCACAAGTCAACTCTTCCATCCCACCTCCAAAGATACCCTACTTGGGAACTGCACGGAAAGATTCCAAATTCTATTCGCCACCCACCCGTCATCAGGAAACTGTTCACATTATCATTTACAGAACATGTCATTCTGCATGGGAATGCTTGTGGCCATGTGTATTTTTCACTGCCCACGGCCAAGGAACGAGAATGGAGGTCGACTCGCGATATGCTCGATACTCTGCATCTTTTCCCCACCGCTGCTGCGACGCCTTGTCCAACAAGGGGATCTGAAAAAGAGTCGGACGTCAATGGAAGTAATGATAACGGAGGTGACTTGAAATACGCTCGATATACGCTTACGCTGCATCTTCCCTGCACCACTGCTGTGAAGCGTTGTCAAAAAGGGGGATCTGGAAGTGAGTCTCGCAGCAATCCAAGGAGGCTTTTTATGATTCGAAATGAACCCTCTCAGGGATCCGAAATAATGTCGGGCAGCAATTCAAGGAAATGAGACGAGGATTGCATAAAAATGGGGAGAGGGAGGGGGACGACTTTTGAGACGTCTCAAAAGTCGGGCGGCAACTAAAAGGAGACGAGACATTGACTGCGTGAAAAAAGGGAGAGGGAGGGGACGAGGGAAACTTGTGAATGAAATTCGAATGAGCTAGTTGTTGGGTAAAAGCCGCTGGTGAGTTTACAATAGTTGGAGATTAAGATTTGCGGCAGATCTCATGCTTTAGACTGCAGAAAGAAGTTGGCGAGTTTATAACGAGGGGGGACTACGCTTTGAGGTGAGGAGATACGCAACATTAGTTTCAATAGGCCAAGGGCAGAGTGTGAAGGGGGCCTTGAAAACAGAATTTGTTCAGCGCACAAGTGCAAAGAGTGTGAAGAATGTTGGAGTCAGTTTTGAGAATTCTAAAGAATGACTCCAACATAGGCCAATGGCAGGAAACATACCCCGCTCATGCGCACGAGTGCATAGAGTGTGAAGAGAGGACTCGCAAGACCTGTGACCACACGGGATGATGACAACAAGAAGTTGGGACAAGAAGGGTTATGTGTGGGTGTAGAAGGTGGAGTCATTCTATCGAGCATGCAACACCCCCAACAGATGGTACCAGGCATCTTGTGCCTGAGAATTGTGAAGGATCACACGAGCAGGTCCCATGGATGCGGCTTTGTCAGACTTGAAAAAAACAAAAAAAAAAACACCAACACATGTCCCATGCACTACCAGGCACAGCAGATCTAAGATGAGGTGCACAGACAAAGTGGAAACGTGGAAATACGAGAAAACAACGATTTAAAAGAACCAAGGAAACAACAAAATGCCAGTGGATGGAAAAAACAAAGAGAGGCCCGAGCAAGAAAAGGCTCACATATGAGGCGATATGCAGGTGAGAAGCCAGAGTAGGTCAGCAGGTAGAGGAAGAACCGTAGGCATGATTTAAGGTGCCTTCTAAGTCGGCTCAACAAGAGGAGGCTCACATATGAGGCGATAGGTAGGCGAGAGGCCGGAGTAGGTGAGCAGGTAGAGGCCAAACCAGAGGAGGATCTCTCCAAAGTAGTTTGGGTGCTGGCTCCAGCTGCAAACCAGGCGGACAGTAAACATAGAGCGAAACAATTATTTTGTTGACTTTTTTTGGTTTGTTTGTTTGTTTGTTTGTTTTTGTTTTTGTTTTTTTTTTTCCCCCCGAAATATTGTGGTACTGACTCCAGCTGGGAATCAGGTGGACATGGCGGGAAGCACGGAGCAAAATGGAGCAAAGGGATAGCAAGGAAAAGAAGGTGGGATGATTGGAATGGAAGTGGAAGCTCCAGGGGAGAAAAGGCCGGGTAAGATGGCGAACGAAAAGAGCAGTAGAAGGCACACACGAATTATGTCATCCAAAAATCCCTGTCATATTACTGCTCTGTCGGACAGAAGACTCAGGAATTTCAAGTAACTGGAAAACATCCAATAAAGCCACGGAAACACGTACCTCCATAGACCAGTGGATATCCACCTGCCCTCGTTCTCCTGTCTCAGGCTGAAGCTGCATTGGAAGGGCAGGGCGAGGGGGAAGGAACACAGGGAGGAACAACACAGGCAGTTGAACACAAGCACGTTGGGATTTAACCAGCTTTCTGAAAAATTTGACTGAGATTTTCCTGGCTGAAGCTGAAGCTGCAGTGGAAGGGAAGGGTGAGCGGGAACGAGCACAAGGAGGTCAGAATGAAGGGAGATAGAGAGGCGGGGTGGAAGGGAGCAAGGTAAAATCGGAGAGAGTGAGCAAAAGGGAGAGGGAGGACGAAACACGGTGCAGTGGGGGAAGCAAGCGAGGGAAGAGGAAGAATCAGTGTTTTAGGCCTGGAAGAGATTCTACACAAAGGAACATGGCCATGTGTCTAGCACAATCAGTTTCTCCTATACCCTAAACCCGACCTTCAACTCGAAAACCATAACGCACAAAATCTTCATCAACCATCTCCACACGCTCCCTCTCACTTCACCTGTAACCAGTCTAACAGTATTTCACCTCTCATTTGTGTCCATTTTCCCGATGCGATGACTTTTGTGGCGCCTCTAAATTCGACCGTGACGAACCCTACCATTTGTACCTTCACCTACCTAAACCGTCTCACCTAGATGACATTTGAGTCGACTCTGAATTCGATCGTGACGAGCCCTACCACTGGTACCTCCACCTAAACTATTTCACCTAGAATCGCTTCACCTACAGTAACTTCTGATGGTCGGATATGGTCTCAATGAGGAAGCCAGTGAGCCATATAGCCATTCCTGCAGCAGTCAATAACGGGTATGGACCATGCATAAGGACAAGAACGGGTTATTTCACAACATGACAAGCAATAACACTTGTAGCAAAAAAAGCGCAGTTACCTAAGTGACACGTTTGTAGCAGAAATAACGGCCGCTCACATGACACGTACGTTTGTAGCGGAAAGCACGGCTCCTCACTCACTCCTCACATGCCACGTCCACAGCAGGAAGCACAGCTCCTTACCTGCCACGTCTGTTGCGGAAAGCACGGCTCCTTACCTGCCACGTCTGTTGCGGAAAGCACGGCTCCTTACCTGCCACGTCTGTTGCAGAAAGCACGGCTCCTTACCTGCCACGTCTGTTGCGGAAAGCACGGCTCCTTACCTGCCACGTCTGTTGCGGAAAGCACGGCTCCTTAACTGCCACGTCTGTTGCGGAAAGCACGGCTCCTTACCTGCCACGTCTGTTGCGGAGAGCCATTGTGGTTGAGGATGGGAGGCGTTGAGAATGAGCAGAGGCAGCGAGACGAGCAGCACCCACATGCCCTGGAGCGGGATGGTAGTGACGGGCATGGGGGATTGCAAAATGAGATGAGAAGTGGTGAGAACGAGCAGGCGATGCGGCAGAGAGGTGAGCAGCTGCCACATGCCCTGGAAGGGGGTGGCACTGGAATGAAGTGGACGGACGGACGAGTTCAGCTCATGACAGGCACGGGGGTAGTTAGTGTGGGTGCTATTGAGGACGAGACACAGAGAGCGAGAAAACAAATGACAAGGCAGAGAGACGATGAGAAGGCAGATGCCTTATTGTCAATTGTCTCTCTACCTCATCGCCCCCCCCTGAGAGAGGCTGGGGAAGGTGCAGGATGAACTGGATGGGCATGTGTGATTTCGATCCCCTCCTGCACAACCCAGGACATTGTTAGGTAAATGGGCTGGTCCTGGCCCAGACCACACCCGCACCACTCCCCCCCACCACCTGCACCAGTCCCCACCTGCACGGTCAAGAACATCATGGTAGATGGGCTGGTCCCCTATCGGCAGGCATACATGTCCCAGAACACACCTGCTTCTGCATGCATGCACTGGACCGCTCCCCACCCCACCTGCACGGTCCAGAACATCATGAGGTAGACGGGGTGGTCCCTCACGCCATCGAACCGAGAGTCCTTCCCCCTCTGCCACGGAACAGCGCGGAGGCAGGAAGCGCGAGAGCAGGGGCAGGAGAAGGAATCAAAGAGGCAGTGACTTTTTGAGACGGCGCAAAACTTGTTTATGAGTCGATGGGGAGGAGAGAAATGCGAGTGAGTGCAACGGCAACGCGGGAGAAGGAACCAAACAGGCAATGACTTCTGAGACGGCTCTTAACTTGTCCATGAATCGGTGGGGAGGCGAGAAGTGCGAGCACAGTACAGGGGGGGGGGGGGGGGGGGCAGAGGGGGAGAGAAGTGCGAGCACAGTACAGGGGGGGGGGGGGGGGGAGAGGGGAAGAGAAGTGCGAGCACAGTACAGGGGGGGGGGGGGGGGGCAGAGGGGGAGAGAAGTGCGAGCACAGTACAGGGGGGGGGGGGGGGGGGGGGGGGGCAGAGGGGGAGAGAAGTGCGAGCACAGTACAGAGGGGGGGGGGGGGAAGGACAGACAAAGAATGCAGTGCGGGACCAGTGGTGCTTGTGTTATTTGTTAGAATCCTCATATATAAAACACGCACGGAAAGGATTCAGGAGTGCGGCAATGAAACGGTGAGCAACACAAGGGAGAGGGCACCAATAGGTGCTTAGGACCATTTTCGATAACTTACTAAGGCGCCTCAATAGGTGCATGGGGCAGTTTTCAAGATTTTAATAGGCGAAAGAACTTTATACGGGGAAGGTAGAGGCGGAGGCAGAGGCAGAGGGGTAGGTAGAGGCGGAGGGGGAAGGTAGAGGCGGAGGCAGAGGCGGAGGGGAAAGGTAGAGGCGGAGGCAGAGGCGGAGGGGGAAGGTAGAGGCGGAGGCAGAGGCGGAGGGGGAAGGTAGAGGCGGAGGCAAAGGCGGAGGGGGAAGGTAGAGGCGGAGACAGAGGCGGAGGGGGAAGGAGGCAGAGGGGGAAGGTAGAGGTGGAGGTAGAGGGGGAAGGTAGAGGCGGAGGCAGAGAGGCGGAGGGGGAAGGAGGCAGAGGGGGAAGGTAGAGGTGGAGGTAGAGGGGGAAGGTAGAGGCGGAGGCAGAAGCGGAGTGGGGAGGCAGCGAGGTGGTGCATGGTGCAGAAGAGGAGAGGGGGGGAAGGGGGGGGAAGGGGGGACTTACCCGGAGGATGCGGGTGAAGAGGAATGTTCCCAGACGAACGGCCCAGATTGAAACGAGCGATGATGCTACCACCTGATATTGAAGGGGGTGAGTCATCGAGCGAACTGAATGTGATTGCAACGAAGCGTCATGAGAAGTTTGGATGTGGCTACAATGCAGCGTTACGGAATGAGTGAATTGTGACTACAACGAAGGCGTCAAAGTGAACGGAATACAGGAACCAAATGGGGTCAAAGCGGCGAATGAAGGAGCAAATCGAAGGGTCATTGAATTAAAAAGGTGAGGCAGGAAAGCTGAAAGTGGCTTGTGAGTTTATGTCAAAATCGACTGAGAGCGTTTGATGAACTTTTCGGAAGCACCTCAAAAGGGGAGAAGTCTGACTTCCAATCAGAGTTAAAATTACTATGCATGAGGGAGCGTTTTAAAGGATCCATGATAGATGGAGCTCAGAAGGTCGATGAACGGAGGGCGGATTCGATAAAGAAAAGTGAGTCATACTTGTCTCTGGTGGAGCGAGCCGCCTATAGCGAGGGAGAGGAAGGCGCCGAGAAGGAACGTGCAGGATCCGGTTAAATCAAAGAAAAGCTCCGTCTGAATGGGTTACGGTAGACGGAATTCGGGGAATAACGGGAAAGGGTTTGGTTGGCTGAACCGCCGCAAAAAAATCATAACACGAGGCAAGGTTTTCATGATGGTCCGGTGCTGACATCATGCCGAGCGGAATATGAACTCTGCAGAGATAAGCCGACCTGGTAGACTGCGGAGAAGAGGCACGCAGTCCACTGAATAGCGAAATCGAGGAGAACGAACCAGAAAATGACTGCTCCGGGGCTGCTGTTTCCGTGTGACATGGCTGCTGGGTGATGGACTATGGAACATAGCAGCGATACCGCGTGCTGGAAACTAATGCCTAATACCCCAGTCAGTATCCGCGTTATCACCCACTCGCAGGATCTGGATTGAATTGTTGTGTACATGTATTTGGGGGGGAGGTTGCCAAATTGCTGTCGCCAAGAATTACAATTCGTATGACGCGTGGAGAAACGAAATGCCGCGTAACCAGATTTGAGACCTAGAGTTCTCCAGGAAGGAGCTACACCCTGTTTCGCGCCACACTGACATTCGCTGTATTGACATGCCACCTATTCTGACATCAACGCGTCCAAAACGGTCCCAGAACATTGCATATAAGCACAATTTGCCGTACTTAACCGCGGAAGCAATGTTCTGTCATAAAACGTTTTGTATCATTCAAATGGACTGCATTTGCCCGCCACCTACCTGGGGTTCCGCTGCAAGCACCAGCCCGCAAAATCCAAGCGCACGCTCGCACTGTAGCCCGGGCTCCTGATTGTCAGAACGCTGAGAAACAAGGTGTATCTTTCCCACCCCACACCCTAAAGCGTGTCTAGAGACTTCAGTCTCTACAGCGCACCCAGGCGGTTTCGAACCACTGGGCTCGTGGCATGGTGTCAGGCAACCTCGGCAGTCCTAGGGCTGGCAAAAAACTATTTGCTCAGCCGACGTGTGACGCCCCCGAACCACCAAATCTGCAACAAAAAAGCGCGCGAGTCACCTAAGCTGAGTTACAGATCACTACCGAACCAATCTGCTAAGGTAACAACCGCATAAGAGCGTGTCCGAAGTGAAGCGTCGAATGGGTGTCGATGATGTCTGTAAATTTTAACCCTTGGATCGAGAGTTCCAACCGTCAGGATTTACCGACATCGGATGTCAACGGAAGTCAACTTACTTCGGACCCGCCCTAAGGAAAAAGCAGACGTCCGTGCCATGCCACCCTCTTTCGTTACCAAGCCTCGGCCTGTGGCATGGATTGTCAATGGTGGCATGAACAATACGCGGCTGCACTGTACTGTTAGGCCGTGTAACATTATCCTCTAACGACCGTCAGTCACGCGTTAAGCTCCTACCGAGTACACTAACGCGGCAGGAAGAGTATACTGTACTATCGTAACTAACCGGCAGTTCACCAGCTGATCGGCCTCGGTCTTTTGTCAGCCACATTCGCTCGCATGATTCTAACACTATTAATCTCGTCAAGAAAAGGAGGTAAATCTGTTTTGTTGAATACAGTGCCTTTGAATCAGTGCTTAGTCCAGCAACTAATCTCGCAGCAGCCGCGGTCAAGTCGATGATGAACATTCAGTGAGGCCGGTTTTGCTGAACGAGTTTTGTTACGCTGAAGTATCTGAGCTAGTACTAGTACTACCCACTGTCATTTCCTCTTATTTTTCACATACGTTATATTCTTTGTCAATGGATCAGCATTCTCTTCACCGTACTTATCGGTACCCTCTCACTCGCAATTTCGCTGACTTGCCTCTTTCAAGTTTCATTCCGTTACAGGAGGGTTCGGAACAAGCTGTTACTAGCCCCCCGGGATCTCCGCTAACCTTCACCAACCCTAATATGATCGACCGTACAGCTGACCCAGTCGGCGACGGAAACTTCGCCGCTCGTGCCGAAGAGTTGTCGCGCGCGACCATATTAGCGACGAATGCGTCGCCATACGACCATGCGAGAGCTAGCGAGAACGCCGGATACCTCCGCCAACCCAAGGTTGACCACACTACGGCTAGCATCTCAACAAAGATCAAGGAAGAAATGGAGGTTGACGAGCCGCAAGCGCGATGCAGCGAAGCAGTTAATAACAGGGGGGATAAGTCAGCGGTTGAAGTCGGTATGACTCTGTCCTTGTTCCCCTCCTCCCTTCCACCCAACCATCCACTGGAAGCTAATCATCATGTTGGTGCGACCCCTACCGCCGGAACCACCCTCAGCTCTGCACCTGCTGCAGCAGAACCGCTGTACGGCGGAGGTGTGACCGCGCGAGGTGTGGCAGGCGGCGGTTTCACAGGCGGAGGCGGAGGTGTGACAGGCGGAAGTATCACAGGCGGAGGCGGAGGTGTGACAGGTGGCGGTATCACAGGCGGAGGTGTGACGTTCGAAGATAATGTAAGCGGAGCTATTCATAGTGGCAGCAGCGGCGGCCGGGGGAGCAGCAGAGCAGCAGAGGGAGCGGCGACGCCACTGGCAGCAGCGACACCAGCACCAACGACACAAGCAGCAGCGAGACAGGCAGCGGCGATGAAACAGGCAGCAGCGACACAGGCAGGGCCAATACAGTTAGCGTCAGTACAGACAGCGACGACAGAGGCGGCAATGACACAGGCAGCACATGTGGCTCAAACGGTCCTGTCCATGTCGCATGTCGTGCAGTCCAGCGGCCTCCCCTCAGGCACGCAACAGCAGCTTGTCAGCGCGCTGTCCCTCCTCACAGGTTTTCTATCCACCCAGGGGGGAATCAGAGCAGGAGGAGAAGGAGGGAGGGGCACGGCTGCTGCTGCGGCTGGTCCGTCGAATCCGGCTGCAGGGGTTGCCTCTGGTGCAGCATTGGCAGTGGCCGCACCAGCAGCAGCGGCAGGGACAGGGACAGGGGCAGAATTGTCGATAGCTTCAGCAGATGCAGCCGCCGCAGCAACAGGAACAACCGCAGGTTCTGCACTGGAAGCAGCACCGGTTGCATTCCCTCGCGCCCCCACCCTTCAGTCTATCTCAGCCCTCCCATCTAGCCCAGGCCCCCGATCTAGCCCAGGCCCCCGATCTAGCCCAGGCCCCCGATCTAGCCCAGCCGTCCCAACTAGCCTAGTCCCCCAATCTAGCCCAGCCCTCCCGTCTAGTCCAGGACCCCATCGAAACACCAACACACAAACTTTCCCTGCCTTGGCTGTCCCCGCTAGTACTGACTCCTCTCCTCAACTCCAGCACTTACTTAAGATCCTGGAGGACGGGTCAAGAACCGGCGAGCTTCTAGCCAATAAGAACCACGGCCGCCTCACCCACTACCTCTCCCAAGCCTCGGGGCTCCTCTCCAGCCTCGGCAGGCAGAGCGCCAGCGCCAACCCGGGCCTGCTTGCCAGCCTCGGTGGCGACCCTCGTGGTTTGTTGTCCAATCAGGGTCGGACAATTGGTTTTGGCAGTACACTGGGTGCGGATCCTGCTGCTGCTGCGGCTGCGGCTGCTGCTGCTGCTGCTGCTGCTGCTGCTGCTGCTGCTCCTGCTACGACTGCGGCTGTTGCCACGCTTGCTGCTGCTTCTGCGTCGCCTGCTCCCAGCTCACAGGAAAGTTCGGGCAAGGGGGGTCCCATGTCAAAGCTGCTAGACGTGGCGGCAGCAGCAGCAGCTGCAGCAGTGGTCATGGCAGCAGCGGCTGTCAGAGAGGAAACGGTATCCGTTGAACTCCCCGCAGTATCTGCCGCCTCTGCTCCAGCTGCCACCTCTGCTCCAGCTGCCACCTCTGCTCCAGCTGCCGCGTCTGCTCCTGCCGCTACTTCTGCCCGTGCCACACCTACTGCTGGTGCAGCCTCCGATCACGTTTCTGGTGCCACTGCCATTTCCGGGGGCATTGGTGATTCTGGTGCTGCGACGCTAAGGTCTACGTCTTCCCCCGCGCCAGCTGTCACTCCAACCGTGGTGAACCTTCCAGGTGCAGCAGCAGCAGCCCTTGTGCCTCCATCCGCTCCTCTTCCTCCTCCTCTTCCTCTTCCTCCTGACGTTGCTCCTATGCCATATCGACCAGCCGCTGCGCCTTTACCAGCTGGTGCCTTTGCACCCACTGCAACTCCTCCGCTTGCTGCCTCTACTCCTAATCCAGCTCCCAGCGCTTTCCCTTTCGAAGCGCTCGCCCAGTCTCTCACTCTTGGGGGGCTTCAATCCCAGCCCAGCCTCTCCTCTCTCCCCGCCCTCCTGGCTGCTATCTCCGCCCTCCAGCAAAGAAAGAGCCTGCAGCAAGCCGCAGCACCTGCATCAGAGCATCAGGGCGCGAGCAGCGGATCAGGTCAGGGTCAGGGGATGGTGCAGCAGGCGCAGGGGCAGGCGCAGGGGCAGGGGCAGGGACAGGGACAGGGGCAGGTGCAGCAGGGGCAGGAGCAGGGACAGGGGCAGGGGCAGAAGGAGAAGGAGAGGGAGGGACAAGGACAGGGGCAGGGACAGGGGCAGGGACAGGGGCAGGGGCAGAGGGAGAAGGAGAGGGAGGGACAGGGGCAGGGGCAGGGGCAGGGGCAGGGGCAGGAGCAGGGGCAGGAGCAGTTCCAGAAGCAGCATCAGCTTATTCGAGCTGTGTCTTTGCCCGGCCCTGCTCCCTCCCGTTTCTTCCCATCTGTTCCTCGTGACCTATACAAAGCCTCCTTCCCGTCGCCCCACTCCCCCTCCACCCTCGCTGCTGCCGCTACCACTGCTGCCGCTGCTGGTTCTGGTGCTGGTTCTGCTGATGCTGCGATTGCTGGGAGTGCAGCAGGGGAAATGAGAGGGGAGGGAGGTGGAGGGGGAGGAACAGGGGGTGTGGGAGCAGAGGGAGGAGCAGTGGGAGCAGAGGGAGGAGCTGTGGCAGCAAGAGGGGGAGTTGTGGAGGGCTTATTGGCTGGAAACTGGTCTACCAGTCGACTAGACGCACTGGCCCCTGCTGCTCTTAATATCCGAACCGAGCCACTCACCCCTCTCTCCCGTGCCGGCAGCTCCCTGACCTCACGCATAGGTTCGGGAAACGAATGGACGTGGGGACTAGGTACGGAAGCTGCTCCTGCTGGTGCTGCCGCCCCTTCCGCTGGTGCTGCTGCTGCTAGTGCTGCTGCTGCTGGTGCTGCTGCCACTGCTGGTGCTGGTACTGCCACTGCTGGTGCTGGTACTGCTACTGCTGCTGCTGCCACTACTGCTACTGCAACTGCTGCTGCTACTGCTGCTGGGTCCTCTGCAGGTGCTACCCCATGCACGAGCAGCAGCAATCCCGCTGGTTCCAATACAGCAGCACCAGCAGCAGCAGGGCAACCCCCCGTGTGGCACGGCAGCCGCAGGCAGAGATTTCTGGCCCGGCAGGAATCAGCATCTGCAGAGGCACTAGACGCGTCTATCAACCCTAATTTCACCTCCTCCCGCCTTCGGCGGCTTTGCTCGGCTGAAGCCGGGTTCGAGACGCCGCAGACCGTTGGATCGTCGTCCTCGCGGCTGCGACGGCTGGGATCGGCGGAGGGGTCGCGCCAGCTGGGGGATGCCCTGGGGGGAGGTGGGACTGGGAGAGGGGGAGGGGGTAGTGGGGGAGGGACAGGGGGGAGTGGGGGAGGCACAGGGGGGAGTGGGGGAAGTGGGACTGGAGCAGTGGGGAGTGGAAGAAGTGGGGCCGGGGCAGGAGGTGGGAGCGGGGGAGGGGCGGGGGGGAGTGGAGGAGGTGCAGGGGCAGGGAGAAGCGGGGGAGGGACAGGGGGGAGTGGGGGAGGGGCAGTGGGAAGTGGTGGAGGGGTAGTGGGAAGTGGAGGAGGGATAGGGGGAAGTGGGGTAGCGGCAGGGGGGAGTGGGGGAGCGGCAGGAGGAAGTGGGGGAGCGGCAGGGAGAAGTGGGGGTGGGGCATGCGGAAGTGGGGATGGGGCAGGGGCGAGTGGGGCAGGAGCGAGGGGGTTGGAAGTGCTGGAGAGCCTGAGGGTGCGGCTGCGGCCGCAGCTGTCTGGGCTGCTACAGGAGCAGCAGGAGGCTGTGCTGCGACTGAAGCAGCATCACGCACTGCAGCAGCAGCAGTCACAAACTGCTGCTGCTGCTACTGCTACTGCTACTGCTTCGCCAACTGCCCACCCGCACTCACCTTCTGCTGCTTCTGCTGCTGCTGCTGGTGCGAATTCAGCGGCACCAGTCGTCCCCCCATTCTCTCCTGCCCTCAACAGCCCACCGTCTCAGCCACTCAGCCGGCTGCAGAGAGCAGGACCAAGCATAGACCGTCTGAACCTACAAGGCCCCTCTGCTCTGCCTCCTCCTCCTCCTCCTCCTCCTCCCCCTCTGTCTTCTCCTGGAGATGCCCGCATGCGGGGGGGGTTGCAGCGGTCAGGGCCAAGTATAGACCGCCTCAACTTTCAGGGCGCTGCTTCTTCTGCCTCTGCCATCCCTCCGCCCCCTCCTGCCTTTCCGCAGGGAGACCATCGTCCCGGGGGGGTAGAAAGTGGGGGGTTGCAAAGGCCGGGATTGCAAAGGGCAGGGCCCAGCATAGACCGTTTGAATCTGGAGGCAGCTGGGATGGCTTCCCGTGCTGCCGCACTGCAGAGAGCAGGGCCGAGCATTGGCTCTTTGAGTTTTCAAGGGGAAATACCCCTCTACAGGGGAGGCTCCGTTACTGGAGATATCTCTCTACAGAGGGAGAGGGGAGGTTTGGCTTCAGGGGAGGCTGCGCTTTACAGAAGGGGTTCGCTTACAGGAGAAGTCCCGCTCCAGAGACTAGGCAGTGTGAGTGGCCCTTGGGAGCAGGGAGGAGGGGAGAGAGAGGTAAGGGAAGGCAGGATAGTAGAAGGGCTAGAGACTGGATTGGGGAGGGGAGAAGGGGGGGGCTCTGAGGGAGTGGGGAGTGGGGTAAAGCGGGCATACGGCAGCATGCAGGTCGATGGGGAAGGTGGAGAGAGAGAGTGGAAGAGGGCCAAGGGCTTGATACGCAGCAATGGCACTGGCAACATGGCTGATACTGCTGGTCCAGAATGTGATGCTGCTGCTGCTGCTGCTGGTGCTGCTGCTGCTGTCGGCGGCAGTGTCCCGTTCTATGGTGGTACTGTTGCTGCTCCTGGTGGGTTCTTCAGTGGGAGACGAGTAGACGACACGCCAACCTCCCCTCCGCGGCCGCTCTTCTCCTTCCCCTCCGTCTCCCTCTCTCTTGACGACATCCCTTCAGCCGTCCCTGCCACTGCTGCCACCGGAGCTATCGATAAAGCCGAAGCTGGCCTCCGCCCCGCCGGACACAGGCCGTCAGGCTTGGGAAACTCAGGCTCGGCAGGTGCAGGAACGGGGGACTTTGGCTTGGGAAGTCCAGGTCCGGAGAGTGGAAATCTGGAACAGAGGGCGAGCATGGGGTGTGAAGCTAACAGCATGGGAATTTTCAAGGGTGGAGGAGTGGGAACGGGGACTGGCATGGACATGGGGGTCGGTGAGCGAGGGGATAAGGGGGGTGAGGGCGTGAGTGTGAGAGAAGATGAGGGCAGGGGAGGAGGGGGAGGCAGCAGGGTAGGGGCTAGTGGTCCTGGTACTGCTGCTACAGCTGCTGCTACAGCCGCCGCTACTGCTCCTGCTCTTGGTGGTGCGCTTGCTGCTAGTCTAGGTGTTGCTAGTCCTGGTGCCTCTGCTGCTGCTCCTGCTGGTGCCTCTGTTGTCGGTTTACCTCGTTCCAGTAAGGTTGGCGGGCTGCTCCCATCGAGTGGCTTTACTGGCAGTGGATTGGGCGGCAGCAGGCTGGCCGGCAGCAGGATGGGCAGCGGTGGGCTGGCCGGCAGTGGGTTGGCCGGCGGTGGGCTCGGGGGGAGTGGGCTGGGCGGCGGGGGCCTGGGCGGCGGCGGTGGCGGGCTGGGCGGCGGGTCGCGGTTGGCTCGTAGCTTTGTGTGGAGCAAGGATCAGCTGAAGGAGATCGAGCAGATGAAAGAAGCCATGGCTGACATGGAGCAGGAGGGGGAGCCGGGAGGTGCGGCATGGGACGCACAGGTTGGGGACGCACGAGCAGGGGAGGTGCGAGTAGGGGAGGCGCGAGCAGGGGAGGTGCGAATAGGGGAGGCGCGAGCAGGGGAGGTGCGAATAGGGGAGGCGCGAGCAGGGGAGGTGCGAATAGGGGAGGCGCGAGCAGGGGAGGTGCGAATAGGGGAGGCGCGAGCAGGGGAGGTGCGAATAGGGGAGGCGCGAGCAGGGGACGCACGGTTAAGGTTAGGGGCATGGTCAGGAGCAGGTGCGGGGGGAGGAGAGGGAGGGAGCAGCGGCGAAGGGGCCAGAGCAGCGGCAGCAGCGAGGGCCGGTGCTGATGCCTCTGCTGGCGGGGCACTGGCTGGAGAAGGGAGTGGGAGGCGCTTGGAGAGAGGAAGAAGCGGAGTGGGGAAGAGTGAAGCATGGGAGGGGTTTCAGAGAGGAGACAGCTTGGGGGAAATGAGGGGAAACAGCTCTGGGCTGGACTTGTATTCGTTGGATGGGGTGGGCGATGAGGGGCAGGCAGGGGGCGGCAGGGATGAGGGAAGGTGGGGGAGCGATGGTGGTGATGATGGTGAGGGGATGGAGGGTGAGGGGATGGAGGGTGAGGGCATGGAGGAGGATGATAGACTGGATGGGAATGGTTTCAATGGCCAGGGTTACAATGGGCGGATGGAAGGGAGTGATCTGGGCGGGCGGATGGAGGGGAATGGGTTGGGCGGGGCAATGGACGGGTGTGCGAGCCGCAAGCCAGGGCCGAAACGGAAGGAGGGGCCAGTGAGCCACTTCTGCCAGAACGCACGGGTGAGTGCTTCTGTTTCCAACTTATGAGGCGCCTCAAAGCTGCTGCTGTCCCTCTCTGCAAGGCCCTTCCTGCGAGGCGCTTCTGTGAGGTTGCTTTCAAGAGGCTGCTTTTTCTCCCCTCCCCGTTCCTTTCCCCCGTACACCCTACAAGAAGCCAAAAGCGCCGAAATGGACAATACTGCCTCCATTCCCTTCCCCTCACTGCTTTTCCTCATCCCCTGCTCCCCACTAGTTTCCACTCCCGGTTCCTCCCCTTCCCCCTCTCACCCCCCCCCCCCACAATCCCCCCACAACCCCTCTCTCCCCCCCACAATGCCGGTTTCTCTCCCCCGCAGCGACCACACAACACCGCTCTTACTCTCGTTCACCGCTTGCTTCCCCATTCTCCCCTCAAAGCACCGTTACAAAAGGGGAGGGAGCAGCTGATGCGGCACATCAGGGCACTGGAGAGGCTGGTGCCGCAGAGGGCTGGCAGCAACCCCACAAGAACATCCCTCCACCCCCCGTATCCCCACACATACACGCTCTCAGAAACTGGTGCCGCAGAGGGCTCGCAGTTGTCAACACTGCACTGTTCCTACTCTCATTCTCCTTGTTGCTTCTCCCCACTCCACACCATTTCAGAAGCGGAGGGAGCGGCTTACGCGGCACATCCGGGCACTAGAGAAGCTGGTGCCGCAGAGAGCTCGCAGCGACGCAGCCTCTGTTCTCGAGTCCGCCATCTCTTTCATCAAACGGCTCTCCCGGGAGAACCAGGTGCGTAAGCTGGTCCCTCATTTTGCAGGTGCGTGCTGTTGCTGGTGCTCTCATGCACCAGGTTGGTTGGGGGTCGCCGATACTTGCGGCACCACAAGCTGCTCCTCTTCTTCATCAAACGCATCTCCTGGGAGAGCCAAATCTGTGCTGTTGTGCTTTTCCGGAACCAGATGGGTGCTGTTCTCCCCGAGGCACGGGGAGTGGGTTGGGATTATCGGTACTTAGGCGCCTCAAACTGCGTCTGTTCTCAATCTGCCATCACTTTCATAAAGCCTCTCCAGAGAGAACCAGATCCGTGCGGTGTTCGGCTGTGCTCACTCATGTACCACTGCTGTCTTTGGGCCGTAAAAGGTGATGTTTGATGTCTAATTTGATGCCCGATCTGGAGACATTTGTTTTTTTTTTTTTCTGTCTCACGATGCCGCCCACGCCAACGTCTGCCACTTTTCCCCTTCTCTTCTCTCTTCCCCCCACCGCTTCCCCTTCTCCCTCCCCCCCGCCGCTTCCCCTTCTCCCTCCCCTCCGCCGCTTCCCCTTCTCCCTTCCCCCCGCCGCTTCCCCTTCTCCCTCCTCTCTTTCCCATCACAGGATGTGCGCAAAGAAGTGGCATCGCTGCGGCCCTCATCTCTGAGACCGAGCCCGCACACCCCATGTCAACACCCGCCATTCCCCCCCCCCCCCCCTTCCACTCTCCCCCCTCTCCGTCACAGGATCTGCGCAGGGAAGTGGCAACGCTCCGCCCTTCATCTGAAGCCCATCCGGAACACCTCATGCCAACCCCTTCCCATGCTGCCACTGCTACTGCTACTGCGACTGGTAATGGTACTGCTTCGGCTTCTGCTGTTCTTGATGCCGCTCCTGCCTCTGCTGCTGCGTTGAGTTCCCTGACAATTCCCATGGATCCTTCTAGTAGTGCGCTTGTTGCTTCTTCTGCTGCTGCTGCTACTGGTGCTGCTGGTATAGTTGCTGCTGCTGCTGCCAACCCTGTTTCTGCTCCTGCTTTTGCCCTTGGTCGTGGGTGTAGCAATACACTCTCAGATCCCACTTAAATGAGTTATGTACAGGGCGTGGTCCTGTATTTGCATCCATGAGAATGCAAAGCAATGCTGTTGTGGTGCCAGAGGGTGAAGCTTGCTAATTGGTGGTTGTTTGTGCTACCCTTCTCATTCGATGTGGGATCCAATGGCCGATGTTGTTATTGCAGTCCCGAACTTGCAGTACAGGTTTCAGCCTATAAACCCTACATTCAGAATGCGGCACAATAAGGAGGCCTTGCGTCCAAAGCCTGCCTCTCGATACAAGGTAATATCCTATGCTAGCTAACCACCTCGTCAAATCTCAATTATCATATCTATAACATAACCATTACCACGCCACAGTGTACCGTTCATCTCATACTTATGTCATTCAGTTTGCTGTGCAATACCATACCATTCATGAACCTCGTCGTTCGAACTTCGCAGGTGCATGACTGACATCCTTCGACTCCTCTCCTGAAAAACTCTTCAGCCACCGAAATTATCAGTTCTCCTCCGCACTACCTAGATTTCTTCGTGTCGCTCCTCAAAGCCTCGCTCAATGAGGAGCCCACTGAGACGTCTTTGCGCGAGACGTCTTCTCGTGATGGCCTTGACATGGCGGAATAAGCTAAGCGATCCGTTACCGAACCTTCTCACGTAGTTTCATCGACGGGGTTGACGATCGACGACATGCAGATAAACAGGCACGTGAGGTTGCGACAGTGTTCGCATGGATGTCGCTTCGAGCACACGACAGTCGCGTGACCTTTACAGTCAGGCGACGTGTTCGTCGTCGTTTCAAGCAACCTAGTAATGCCAACCTCTGCCTTTACAGTCGGGCGGGGGAACTCTTGCGTGTCAGTGTTCCGCCGACCAAGAATAAGCGATGGGTTGTCCATCTCTGCCTTTCAGGAGTTTTCAAAGAAATGCATGTCATTCCGAATTTGTTGTCGTTATCGGTCTAAACGAATTCACCAGCTTCTTGCAATTGCAGGAAAATCTTAGTTCCTTTTACCCGACCGAGGTCGACGAAGCACGAAGTTGTGCTGTCTCATATATTTCTCCCGGTCAGGCGTGCCTCCACCAGTCACTGCACGCATGCACTCTCCACGTGATGGAGGTTTCTCGAAACGTTTCTGCATTTGGAACCACCGTGTGTCACGGGATCGCATCCATCAGGCGCCCGACCAAGAATTTTGTGTCGCGAAGAGTAAAAGCTCCTTGCGACTCCTGTAAGATTCCAACTCTACAATCTACAAGAATGGATATGATTCTCCACGAACCAGGGTTCCAAACGCTATCTCTAACATCCCGCATCAGCTGCTCCTTCCTCACTAGCGCACGAGACGGAAACCCACTCGTAGACGCAACCAGCCTGCGGATGGCTTAACTGTAAGTTGATCGAACGCCGAGACGCTAGAACCGAGATTCTTGTTCTTTCTTTCCCAGTCTTGTGGAGACAGATTCCGACTTGGCTGTCCCCGTCGCCAGAACTTCTGTCTTTCAACTAGACGCTTTTGTTTGTGTACCTGCTTGCACGCTGAGCTCAGAACCCGATTTGGCTTCTTGTTGCAGTTCAAGAGGGCATTGCAAGGCGGTGCCCGTCAGGAATTGGAGCTGATCTCAAGACCCTATTTGGCTTCTTGTCGCAGTTCAAGAGGGCGTTGCAAGGCCGTGGCGTTCACGAACTGCAGCTGGATCTTATTCTTTTCCTTGAAAGTTGGACCGTATTGGTTTCTGGGAGGACATAAACAATTTGTCCCAACCAAAAGTTGGAGAAACACCTGATTGACAAGAACCCTACGTGGAGGAAGAGGCGGAAATTGCAGCGCCTCGCGGGTCTCATAAGCACCAGTGCACCACAGCCGCACGTCTCGTTATTGGTGGGGGCTTTTTGCAAACCATGGATCCCACAGAAGAGCACGCGGATTTTGCAGCGTATTCTGCTTCCCCTGCTCTCCCTCCTTCCTTTGCCGCTGGCGCTCCAATCCAAGACTCTTCCCTTGCGTCTGCACCAGTCGGCTCTGATCCACTTGTTGCTGGAATTGTTGCTCGTCTTGCTGCTACTGCTGGTGCTGGTACCAGACCGTCTCTGTCAGAAGCGCATCTAAATTCTTCATCCGGGCTATTCTCTCTCCCTGGAGCCGTCCCTTGCACTGTTAAAGCTTTGTCATCACCAGGGCTTCTGGCTGCACTGGATGAGCCTATATCTCCGTTACAAGCGCATTGTCCTATGGCTGTAGCGCCGCATGCGTCCCTGGAGTGTACCGCGGAGAGTAACCTGGCTCGTAGCTTAACCAGCAGCCGTAGCAGGAGGGCGCGTGAGAACCCTCAGATGCAACCGCATGAGGAGTTTAAGAAGCTTCCAGAAGCGAGGGAGGGAGAGCATGAGAGAGAGGTGAAAAGTCGAGCAGTAAGAGGAGGAAATGGAGAAAGGTTAGGAGGAGTAAGAGTAGCGGGAGGCAGGGGTATCGGAAATATTGAGAAGAGGGAAGGTGGTTTGGTTGGAGAGGGAGGGAGAGCAAGGGGTATGAGCATAGAGCAGCTTGAGGCGGAGGCTGGGAGGACTGACGCTCGGACTGATGGTCTTAAGAGAAATTCTTGGCTAAGTGGCAGTAGAAGCAGGAAACGGGGGAACCCCATGAAGCAGCAGCGGTTGCTGCCCAGTGAGGACGAGGTGAGGGAGGCTGCTACTGATTGGCCAACGCTTGGGACCACTCTGAGACGAGTCCTTCGCATGGGAGGGAGTGGGGTGGACGACAGAGGGGGACTGGGGACAGGAGCAGCAGGAGCAGGAGCAGAGCCGACAGGAGAAGCTGCAGCAGGAGCAGCGCGGTCACATGGTTGGAGCTTCTGTGAAGGGATGGAGGGAGCTGAAGGAGCAACATGTCTTGCAGTGGACGAGGAAGGGTTGGTGCAGCAGGGCCAAGAGGAGCAGCCAAAAGCGGCATTACACCTACCCGCTCATCCGCAGGCGGAGCAGAAGCAGCAACAACAGGAGGAGGAGGAGCGACATCGGCAGCAGGAGCTGCAATGGCAACAGCAGGAGGAGCAGCAGCAACAGCAGAGAATTCCTCTGCCACCTGCCAGCAAAATGCCAAGCATTGGAGGGCTGTGGAAGCCAGGGCGGCTGGGTGGCGATCCCAGGGTAATGGACTATGAGTGCCGATTCTGCGGCAAGGGGTTTGATTCCCCTCGGGCGCTTGGAGGGCACATGAATCTGCACAGGAAAGGTGTGGCTGGCTCAGCGTGTGCATATGTGGGTGTGTGCGCGCAGATGTGGCCGCATGTGTGTTTTGTGTGTGTTTGGGGGGAGGGGGGAGGGGGGAGGGGGAGAGAGGGTTGCGTCCCTGAATGCGTGTTTGTGCCTACCTGCGTGTGTGCGTGCATTGTGGTGGCCAGATGCACACTTGTTGCACTTATTGCATTCATTGCCATTGTTGCTCTCCTTGCACTCATTGCACCCCTCCTTGTTCTTGTTGCAATGGCCAGAGCGCAAGCTAGAAGATGTGTTCCTACAGGAGGCCGAGGCGCAAGCCCGGGCTGAGATACAGCTGCGCCAGCAGCAGCAGCTACAGCTGCTTCTCCAACAGCAGCAGCAGCAGCAAGAGCAGCAGCAGCAGCAAGGTTTTCAGCTACACGGCCAGGAGCAGCCGCTAATGCTGCAGAACCAGCAGCAGTGGTTGCTGCAGCAGGCAAAGCAGCCACAGGGTCAACAGCAACAATTTGAGGAGCTTCTTTGGCAGCAGCAGCAACAACTTCAGCAGCAGCAGCAGCAGCAGCGACAGCAGAATCATCAGCAGCAGCTGTCTCTGCAGTGGCCGCAGCACGAGCACCAGCAGCAGAATCAGCAGCCAGGAGTAGCAGTACAGGCACTACCACTTCGACTCTCCCCTGAGTTTGCCGGACAGCAGCAACAGCAGCAGCTTATTCCTGAGGCACACCGTGTGTCCCACGGCGTATCCCACAGCGCTGGAAGCCGAGCCTCTGCTTTTGAGGCGCTTCAGAAATTGACTCCTGAGGCACACCGTTTCTCCCTTGGCGTATCCCAGAGCACTGGAAGCAGAGTCTCTGCTGTGACTTCACTTGGCCTTCCTGCTGCTATTGGTGCTCCTGCTGCCATGGGTCAAGGTGGGTGGTCAGAGGAGCCGATGCTGATTGATCCGCAACAGTTGGAGGAGCAGCACCAGCTGCTGCATACGCAACGGCAGCATCAGAGGCAGGACAACCAGCGTCAAGAACAGCTACAGCTGCTGCAGCGTCACTTGCAGCAGCATCGGCAGCTGCAGTACCTGCAGAAGAAGGAGCAGCAGCATCTTCGGTGGCAGCAGCAGCAAGAAGAGCAACAGCCGCATAAGCAGCAGCAACAGCAAGGGATGCAGCAAAGGCATTATTATCAGCAGCAGCAGCAGCAGCAGCCGCCGCAGGGTCACAAGCAGTCTGTATTCACTGAGCCCAGGGCCCCTAGGGCTGTTCCCAGCAAGCCTCACCGAATCATGCCTTCGTCTCTTCCCCATACTCCCACCTCCCTGTCTCCTCACACTCCCTCATGGCCGCCCACCCAGACACCCATAGGACCCTCCACCCACTCCAACCGATCCCCACCGCACCATCTGCTCCTCCCTCCTCTCGCCTCAGACCCCTTTCTCTCCACCCTCTGCCCGGAGGTCCTCCAGTCTCTCTTTCTCCGCTCCTGCCCCTCTGAAACATCCCCTGCTGACGCTGTTACACCTCGTGCAGTTATCACTGCATCCTCATTCGCACCTGCCCATCCTGCTTCTGTTCCTCCTTCACTTCCACCCTTGCCTGCTGCTGCACCACCACCGATAACCATACCACGGGTAACCGTACCATCAGTTACCACCTTTTCTCAGCATCCGTCCTCTCTTTCCCCACCTGTAACCGCTAGTCAGCTGCGAGCAACACCACTTGATATGTTGGCTTCTGTGCTTCCAGCTGCTGTTACATCTGGTGTTACATCTGATATTACATCTGGACGACCAGTGTCGGCCCCGCCTGTCGCAAAAAAGGGGCAGGGGCAGCAGGTAAAATCTGGAGGGCTGCAAAAGACTCAGCAGCAGCAGCAGCAGCAGCCAATGGAAATGACGGAAGAGGTTATAAGGGAGATGGAATCCTTGCCAGTGCGGTCAGTGGCAGGGGCAGCTCAAGAGGCAATGCAGAGGGCAAGTGGTGATAATTTGGCATGGCTGCGACCACATAGGCAACAGCTTGAGCTGCTTCGGAAACAGCAGCAGGAGCAGCAGCAGGAGCAGGAGTTGTTGACTCAACTGTTGGCCTTGGCAGAGCAGCAAGCACAGCCAGGCATCGGTGGGGTGTTGGAGCAGCAGGGCAAGGCAGGGCAGCAGCAGGGGGGGAGCAGTCAAGCAGAAGCATGCGTGGGGTCAGAAAATGTTCCCCAAGGAGGAGTGGAATGGGTGGGAGGAGTGAGAAGAGGAGAGGGGTCCGTGCAAGATCTCACGGGTTTGGATTGGCTGCCTGCAACCTCGCACCTCTTTGACTTGTCTCTGCCGGCTGTAACGATGCCAGCTGTTACTGTTCCTGATGTGACTATTCCTGATGTGACTATGCCGAATGTGACTGTGCCTGGTGGAGCCCAGTCTGAACCTTTCCCTGCCGTCCCTTACCTCACCTCTGGGCCCCTTTCTTCTCCTCTGGTGACGCCTTCACTGATTAGGCCGCCAGTCCTGGCTGGGTCTGCAGTTTCAACTCCTGCTGCCGCTGCTCCCCTGACCACTCCACAGTACGGCTCTTCAGCTGCTGGTGCCGCTACATCTCATGGTCCTTCAGGTGCTGCCGTTACATCTCATGGCCCACCAGGTGCTGCCATTCCATCTCCTGTGGTCCATGGCCGGTCGATTCCAACTGCCTCCATCCCAGCGCGCCTGCAGTCCTTCCCCTCCTTGCAGCCGCCTATCTTTCTCCATCAGCCCAACTTGGCGCAGCAGCAGCAGCAGCAGATATTGACCTCTCGGCCTGTCGTGAGCCAGCAGCGGGAGGCTAGCGCTCTTACAAGGCGGCCATTGCAAGGGGAGGGTGCAGGAGGGAGCGAGGAGGACGAGCTGGCACAGCTGGAACAGCTTCGCCAGTTGCTGCTCTTACAGGAGCAGCTTATAAGGGATCAACCAGGGGGAGAGGGTCTTGAGTTGAAGAGGCAGGGGCTGGAGGGGATGAAAGGTGTGGAGTGTTGTGGCGATTTGAACCAGCAGGTTGAGACAGAGGGGGGTATAGCAGGGCAAGAAAAACTGTGCTGTTCAGAAGAATAGGGGCAACACAAAACAGGAGGATTGTAGGGGTACTTCTCTACCTTGAAACCAGTGTTTCCTTGGCATGTTAGGCCCGTTGGGCCTTGTATATGTTGGGAACAATAAGTCTTAAAGCGCCTCTGTCGTGTCGAAACTCAGGACACAAGCGAAGCAGTCCAAATCGAAGCATCGCGAGTCAACCCTCGGAGGTTAGGGTAACCGCCTGGAGGTTACGCGAAGGTCAAAAGTCAGCGACCTTGGACTTGACAAAATACAGCGCGACAGCAAGGACACACAACTGACTCGACATTGAGCAGTTGCCCGAGTCGCACTGTATCGAATCGCAACAGCAAAACAGTTTAATTATATCTATTCGTATTCCTTGTACTCTTATATAAAGCCTTGTATTTGCTTGTTTTAATCAACTTACTTTGCCCTCACATACTAGCGCAAGGTGGTTCAAGGACTTTATTCAAACGCTTCCGCTATTACAATCCTACTCAGACTTTAACTCTACAAAGATCCTAGGGCATCTCAGCCCAACATGGTATGAGAGCAGATAGAGTTCAAAGTTACTTTTTCTCTTAATACTTAATACAAGGAAGACATGTCTACTAGGAAGGAGAGAAGCTCCTCCAACGGTTCTCCAGGCACTACCCCTACTCCACCTCCTGTCTCTGGTCTACAGACGGAAGAAGGGACTACCACGAGACCAGCACCTGGGTCTACGGAAACGCCCGCAGGCTTCGATCCAAGCATGATGGAGAAATTCTTCTCCTTCATGTCCTTCTACGAGCAGCACCAGCAAGGAGTACCTGCGCAGTCAAACAACAGCAACAACAACAACGTAACTCCTATGAGTCTCGACGGCTCATCCTACGCACGCGGAATTCAACAACAACAACAGCAGCCTACCTTTGCGCCGTGCGAGCCCCAGCGTGGCTCCGTCAGCTTCATGCCGCAACCGCAATCTGCACCGGGACAAGAAAGGGCATTGGACGCATTACAAGTTCAATCGCAATTCGCGCATGTTCTCAAGCTGCAAACGACAAAGCCCTTCGACGGAAAAGACTTCTTCACCTGGTCGTTCGAGTTCGAACTGATGATGGTGTCAGAATATTATCTTATGTTCTAGCCTGTAGTGGGGTGCTCTATAGCAAGTACAACCCTTCTAGGGTTTTGCTATTTGTATCCTCATTCCTGCTAGTTCAATCCTCTTTTCTTTCTTCTAACTTTTGTCAGATGGAAGGAGCACAGATTCTCGGCTTCTTCGACGGGTCCCTGCCATATCCAACAAACGGGACACAATATGAGAAGCAGCAGTACACCTATCAATCAATGATGGCGTACACGATACTGCTAAGAAACATCACCCCGACCCAGCAGCAGAACATCAGGACTTACCGAGGCTACGGCAACTCCGCGGAGCTCGCGTACAACCACCTGAAGAACCTGTATCAAGCAACAGACAGCGTAAATCAAAGCAGGTTAATGGCGCAGTTGACAACAATTGAAATGAAACCAGGCGAGAAAGGCATGGCTTATATCAGCCGCTGCCGCGAACTGCGCGACAAGCTTCTTCGATGCGGAGGGTCGATTTCAAAAGACGCCTTTGTCACGGTGGTCATCGGCGGTCTCGGCCCCCACTGGCGCTACACTCGCGCCATATTACGAGCACACGGGAGGATTTCCGAAGCGGCACTCTGCGCCGAAATACATGCCGAGCAGCAGGACATGGACCTGCAAGAAGAACGACATAAGAAGAAAACGTCAGTACCAGAGTTAGCGTTTCACACCCAGCGACGCTACAACAACAACAACAATCGGCAGCAACAACAATTGAAGCCAGTACCTCCGTTTTGCCACATCTGCAAGACTTCAGGGCATCCTCGTACGCACTGCCCGCATCGTCAGCAATCGACAACATCACAGCGACAACTTCGGCCTTCAAGCTCCCAAGTCACTTCAACGCAAGTAAATCCCACGACAAAGATTCAAGCCTCAACGACTCCAACAGGACAACCTGCACAAGGAGCAAGAAACATTGTCAACTGTATGGCAAAGATAACAGATTCCTGTATCATCGAGTCACCACCTCACTACTCACCGGAAGAAGAGCTCGACAACAGGACGCCTCGCCGCGAGTCACTCCAACCGAATCCGACGTACGCCGCCATCGCTCAAAGCGAACCGTCCGGGCAAGACACCTGGTTCTTGGACAGTTGCTGCGGACAACATATGTGCTCCTCGGGACGCTTCGTTCAACGCGAACATCGACTCCAGCGAGAAGTAGTCATCACGGTCGCCAACAACCAGAACCTGCGCACACGACGACAAGGAGTAGTTCAGCTGCAATCAAGAGAGACAAACGTCATACTGCACATGTCAAAGGTACTCATCGCAGAAGGACTCGGTTATAACTTACTGAGTGTCAGCCAGCTGATGGCGAAAGGCATCCACTTGGAAGCCGACAGCACCACCCAGGAGTTTAAACTGTACCACGGGAAGGGCGGCCTCTACATCGGAAGAGCAGTTTTGAAGAACAACGTCTTCGTCCTCGATTTCGTCCCCGACCTTGGCACTGCAGATAGCGACGCCATCGTCAACTTCGCCGATTGGACACATCCCCCGGATCTCGATCCCGACTTCAGCCCGGGAGGTTTCTGGTACTCGCACACCATCCCTGAAGCAGAACGAACACGAGCGTTAGCAACAATTCAACAAACGGCAGTAGCAGAGACAACATCGACAGCAGCAGAGACAACATCGTCAGCAGCAGAGACAACATCGGCAGCAGCAGAGACAACATCGACAGCAGCAGAGACAACATCGGCAGCAGCAGAAACAACATCGGCACCAGCAGGACCAACGACACCAGTCATCGTCCACGAAGCACCACCAACACCCGCACAGCAACTGAACCCGACTCAACGAGAAGTCCACAGAAGCGCCAATGTCGTCGCCAGCTTCTACTCCAACTCCGACGCGTATCAACGCTCACCCGGACATCGCGCTCCTGAAGACATCTGGCACGCACGCACAGGACATCCAAGCAACACAGTATTAAATAACACAATACGAGCAGGAGTCCTCGACAAAGATTCGCTACTACTACCCGACGGCAGAGAACTTCAACGGGCACGAGGAACTTGCCTCATCTGCCCCGAAGCCGACTTACCCCATCGACCGTTTTCTTCTCACCACAACCCGAGCGCACCTGCATACGCACCACTCGAGAAAGTATACAGCGACATCCTCTTCAATCGAGAACCAGGACAATTACACGATAACCTTCATCGACGCCGCCACTCGATACGTCTGGCATCGAAACCTACCCAGCCGCGACATGGCACTCGCAGCGTTCGCCGTTTGGCTACCGGTAGCAGAGAGGGAGTCAGGAACACAGCTGAAAAGCTTCCTGTCAGACGGAGGAGGAGAATACACCTCTCAGCGCTTCAAGCAGTACCTGGCGGAAAGGGGAATCAAGCAACTCCTCTCCCTTCCCTACGCCCATCAGCAGCAAGGTGTTGCAGAAAGAATGAACGGGACTCTGCAGAACAGCATGCGCAAACTGCTACGTGGCATGCGGCTACACAACCACCAGTGCCCTGCAGCAATGGACCATGCTGTCATGCTGCACAACTTGCTGTCGTCGTCGTCACTCCCGAACAACGCATCACCGCATCTGCTGTGGACAGGGAAACAAGGCAGCACGAAAATGTTACGAGTTTTCGGGTGCATGGTACAGTACCGACCCCCAGAAGCACGAGCGGGAAGATTTTCACAACGGGCACAGTGGGGACTACACCTCGGCATCGAAAAGAATTACAACGCGTGGAAAATCTTCGACGTCCACTCCAAGGAAACAGTAGCTGCACGTGACGTGATCTTCTACGAACGACTCACACTTCAGACGTACCTCGCCAACTTGCACGAGAATCAAGATCCCCCCTCGCCAACTTGCACGAGAATCAAGATCCCACAGGTGGTTTTTGTGGTGACCGAGCCTTCGCCTCAGCAGCGGACGAAGCAGACTGGGATGAACAGAACGTCGACAACGCATCGGAAGAAACCGGACCTCTCCCGTACTGCTCCGTCGACGTGCCCATGGACGAAGACAATCCTCGCGACAGTGTCAACGCCGAAGTCTTCTATCACTTCGCCGACAACGGTTACGTAACACCTGCGACAGTCAACACAAACGAAGCAGAACGGATAGGGCCAAATTTCATACCCGATCCAGAAGCGGGAAACGAAGCAGCTTATCCCGAGGATCCAACACTCCCCCGATACTCACAGACTGGACTGCAAATCCTCGGCCTCGTCACCGCAGTCCACGGCAACGCACTTCCTAAGGAGCCTACGACGGTTCAGCAGGCTCTGGGGGGGGAACACAGGGAGAAATGGCGCGAAGCCATGGACAGAGAGTTAAAGGCACTGGAGGAACGCAACACTTGGAAGGTCGTTCCCGCAAGCATGGCAAGGAACAAGACCATTCTTACCGGGAAATGGGTCTTCCGCATCAAAACGAAAGCAGACGGCACAATCGAGAAGTTCAAAGCACGCTGGGTCGTGCGTGGATTCGACCAAGAGCAAGGACGAGACTTCACCGAGACATTCGCCCCAGTTAGTCGACATACCTCTCTTCGAATTCTTCTCGCCGTTGCCGCCATGAAGAAGAAGAAACTGCGACAAATCGATGTCGCCAACGCATTTCTCTACGCACCCGTCGACGCCGAAATCTTCGTCGAACTCCCACACGGTACCCACGGAAACCCCAATCAGGTCTGCCAGCTACTGAAATCGCTCTACGGAATCAAACAAGCCCCGCGGCTGTGGCAACAGCACCTACACACCCGACTCACTCGCATCGGATTCCGCCAACTGCCGCACGACCAAGGAATGTATCGATTCACTAAAGACGCCGATTACATCCTACTGATCGTCTATGTCGACGACCTACTCTACATCGGCTCCACCGACGACATCACCACCTGGTTCGAAGGGGAGCTGCAAAAGGA